CGTGCTAGCCAAGGTGGCACCGACGGTTGTCCTTTATCCAAAAAGCATAGAGCCCATCATTTTATAAAATTCCAATACCCAACCAAAACCTCATGTAAAAAAATTATCAAAATACAAAAAAATAATAAACCCTCCACACCACACTCACAAAAAAAGAAACACATGTAGCACCTCTTATCCTCCACCCCTCCTCCGCTCTTGCAAACGTCCATTCATACCCCTGGACACTGGCGCCCACCGCGGTGAAAGCTGCCCAGATCGATTCGATCCCCGGTACGCAGTGGACTCATTGGAATATGTACTTGTGCTCTCCCCATAATACCGGCCTGAACTCGACACCCGCTGCCGGTCTTCGTACGTATCCCGTTCGGTGCGATCGTCTTCTCGTGTGTATGCGTCCCGAAGACTTCGTCGTTCCCTCAACATTTCCCTCCCAGAGTCTCTAGCAGGCTCTCTGGCCACCTCCCACCCCCGCTCCTCCTCACCCTCCCGCACCCTCAAATGATGCAAAGAAGCCACCGCTTTTGCTAACCTCTCATTCTCATTCTCCAAAGCCAATTTCGCATCTTTAAGCCGTATCACCTCCTCCTCCAATTCCCTCATACGTGGGTCATCCTGTTCAAGGTCCAACAAATTCTCCCAGCTGCCTACCGCGCTACGTGATAAAATCGGTTCCGTGTCACCACAGAGTTCTGCGAAAAAATGCTGTTGGCTTTCGGATAGGGCTTGTTTCCAGTTACGTGCTAGTATCCTATATCATTCGATCCAGTCAGTGATGGTTTGGCACAAACTCCTTTGTGTTTATACACGTACCGCATTCGAATGAGACTCCTCACGACATCCACACATCTCTTCAACTTGATAACAGGTTTGTCGGACCCGACGCCAGAGGGTTCAAGCCCCACTCCTGCCAATGTCGCTCTGTGACTTTGTACAGTTAAAGAGAGATACAATTTCTGGTACTTGAGGTCTGCTCGCCAGGTCGACAGCCTGTCAACCAGTGCGCGGAGGTAGAGAACCTCGGATATGAGCTGACGGCACTGTTCCTTAATACTACAAAAAAAGCACCCCCACAGATTCGGTGAGTACGATATAAACACTCGTAACAAACACAATACAAAAAGGGGAAGCTTACCGAGACATGTCCACCTTGGCCACTTTGTCATCATTCTCCCCGAGAACAGCCATCACATCATGCCCAGACCCAGATACATCCCCAATGGTGTTCTTCAACGTCTCTCGTAACACAACCATCATCTCCCGACTACTCTGCCTGATCTTTTTCAATTCCTTTTGCAACAAGCCCACCTCATCTCGTAAGCCTTCATCTCCCGCATCGCTTGGCGACTGGGTTTTCGCATCAGAAGGATGCCGACGGTCGACTAGACGCCCTCGCTCCTTTTCGAGCCGCAACACTTGAATTTCAGCACTACGCCGTGCGTCTTCCAAATGCTGAACACGTCCATCAAGCCGTCTGATTCGGTCATCCTTCTCAAGTGAAACCTCTTCCAAATGTCGTATTTGAGTTTCACCTTGCAAGATTTTTTCTTCCAGTCGTTCCTTGACACGACGGAAATCATCCACAATGCGATCTCGCTCTCTTTCCAAAGCGTCCACAAGTCCTTCAAGTGCCTTGCGCTCAGCAGTGTGCATCTCTTCTTGTGCACTAGCTGCCTCTTGATGCTCGAAAAACTGATTGTTCAGCTTATCTTCCAGTAGTTTGACATCACTTCGAGCCATTTCCGCATCCTTTGTAGCGGCATCCAATAAATCCACAAGCTCATCAAATTCTTCTCGCATACGAGCCTGAGCTGCTCGAGCTTTATCTTGTGCATGCATAGCATCCCGCTGCGTTCGGGTGATCAACTCACGTAATGCGGTATTCGCTTCCAGTTCATGTGTCCACACTCTTCGAAGCTCGTCCAACTGTCGCTGGAGCACCTTTTCATTTCCGTTCTGCCGTTGCGTAGACGTTGATTCTTGCGTCATGGATTGGAGAGCATCCTTCAAGACTTGTGTTTGCATGGCATGGTCCTTGAGCAATGCGTGTGAGTTCTCCAATTGCCGCTGGTACTGCTCGGCTGCTGCTGCCTTTTCGTACAAATCGGCATACTCGCCAGGCGTAAGGTGATAATTCCCTTCATGGTCAGAGACAGGACGTCCTAATCCACCTTTTGCTGTCGTGTCAATTAATGCCCCCACGGAACTGAGTTCCTTTCCAAGAATGACATGCTGATCCTCGACATCATGCAGCTTTGTAATCAAAATATTTAGATCGTCCAAAATCCGCTTTGGCAGGCGCTCATAGCCGCCCACTGTCGTGCTGCGCAATAGATCCAAAAATCCATCTTTCCTAGCTACCAGTGCAGCAACCGCCGACTGATAGTCTCCGACAACACCAACCACGTGAGAGACTAGGCTTCGCATGTCCGCGATAGAGCTTGTGGCCACGTTCCCGGATGGTGTACGCTTCGCAGGACGCCTAACACGGCCCCCACGAGCCGCTAACCCATCCTCTTCGTCGTCAGCCTCATATGTATCAGTAGTGTGCCCATCGCGGTTACTCCGCAAATAAAGAGCCTTTTCCTCTGCCAATCGGGCGTCAAAATCTGCCGCCATGTGTCGAATCTGAGCAGACTTGGCTTCCACCATCTCGCGCAGACCATCAACTTCTTTCTTGAGCTCGTCCCGTGCTATTGCGGCGTCTTCCAATTGCAATACCCTACTTTGAAGGGCAGTGATTTCCTCTTCCAGTTTGACCACGAGTGCCCGCTTGTCGTCTAGCTCTTCCAGTACCAAATTGTTCCTTCGTAATTCAATCTCGTTTTCTCGTAGTACTTCATCCGCTTCTCCAAGAGCTCTCTCCAAGCTCTGGACGTCAGCTTCTAAGGTACTCGTTCTGACATGTAGCTCATCAATCATCCGCGTTTTTTCCCGTACTTCACTTCTCATTAGGTCTCTCTCCTCAGTCAGCATCGTTACACGATGTCGCAATTGGTCGACGGTTGCTGCTGTCACGGGCGGCTGAGATAAATCTTTGGAGTGCAGTGTGTCATGGCTCACAGGCGACGTTGCACTGGTATCTGACATCTGGCTCTCGGACACTCTTTGCAAATCACGTTTGAGCACCTCCAAGGCGCGTTCCTTGCCCTCCAACTTGAGTTTCACATCGGCCAGCTCCATGGCCAAGGCACTCGACCGGTCCTGCTCTTCCCGCAGCTTCTCCAGCGCATCGGGGAGGCTCGAGTCTAGGCTGTGGGCCTGAGTAGCCTCATATAGCTCTTTGCTGACGCGCTGAACTTCTTGTCGCGCATTCTCCAACTCGGTAACGAGTCGAGCAGCCTCATCCCGGCTTTGTTGAACCAGCGCATTATGGCTCTTCTCCATGACCTCCTTCTCGCGTTCAAGTGCATCAACAGTCGCCCGTAATTGTCGTGACTCTTCTTCGCGTGAGGCAGACAACTCGATGGCCTCATCGAGCTGTCCTCGCAGCTCTGTTTCCACCCCCTCCAATTTCTTAACCCGCTGCTCCAGCTTGGTCTTTGCTTGCGAGACCGCATCATGTTCGGCGCGTATCTGGTGCAGCCGTTGCTCTACTTCCCCAGCTGATGCGAGAGACAAGCTTTGCATCTCGACCATGTCTCGCATCTTCCGAGCCAAATCGTTGATGCGCACCAAGAGACGCGTTCGGCTTGCAGTCAGCTCGTCTAGAGAGCCTTCTGGCGTCGACTCCCAATCAACTGGTGATTGCTCACCTCCACCCACAGCCCCAACGACCCCCTTCATCACATTAACGATATCTTGTAGCTTCAGTTTCTCCTCTTCATCCCGCTCAGCGAAGCTCTTGATCATAGCGGATTTCTCCTCTTCATGCGCATTCTTCTGTTCACCCATTCTAGTTCGTATTTCCTCAAAACTAGTCTGCAAATCCTCCAAGGCCTTCTGAAGTTCCTGTACAAGGGCCCTCTCTTCCTCTAGCAGGCGACCATTTTGCTCCGTACTCTTCGTCAGAAGCTCGATTTCAGCTTCCAATACAGTATTACGGTGCGCAAATTCATCTTTGGTCGTCTGCAAGTCAATTAGCACTTTGCCTCGTTCATCGAGCCTGCTTTCGTAGTCCTCTTCTAGCATTGAGATTGTTTCTTCCATTTCGACCAGCTGCCCTTGAAGGGTCTGTACGATGGCAGTACTTCGATCGCGCTCTTCCATAAGTGAATGCCGCTCCTCTTCCAGAGCAGTCACTTGCGCCTGCAGTTCCTGTGTTCGTGCTTCCAGCACATCCCGCTCAGATGCCAACGTTTCGCGCTCTTGGGTGATTCTCAAAACTTGGGCGCCTACATCCTCTAATGATGACTGCGCGACAGCATGCCGCTGCTCAGCTTCTTTTTGTGCGGCGGATAATACCCCACGTTCCTGCTCCATTTGCGCTTCCAGCTCAGGTATCATTTGTTCAAGGGCAGCAACCTTCTCAAGCGCATCTTCCCGTTCCTTCCGGATAATCTCTGAGACAGTTTCAAGTTCTTGCCGCGCGGCAACTTGCTCGTTTGATGCGGTTTCCAGATCTGTCAACTTTTGTGATATCTCAGCAACAGAAAGCTGCTCTCGCTCCAATTCCTCTTGTAGATAGGCGATATGCGTTTCCCTTGCATTAAGGGATTGTAGCAAGCGCTCATTCTCTTCGCTTATTTCTCCTACTCTGGCATTGACCTCTTCGATTCTTTGTTTCCACACCGAACGCTCTTTCTCTTCCTCATCCTTCCTCTGCCGGAAAGTATCCACGGTCTCCTTCAAAGAATCTAATTCTCTAATCAAAGCAGCCCGTTCCTCTTCACGAATATCAACTTCCTCGCGCAATGCTCCCTTTTCCTCTTCCAGTGTCATCACACGGGCTTCTAACTCTGTCATTTTGACAACGCCCTCCTCCATGGCGGTATGAACTCGTTTTCTTTCTACTTCCACAAGCTCAATCTGAGCCTGCAGCTCGTCACATTCTGCTGCCATCCGCTCGCGCTCCTGCAGCGCTGCGTCGCGTTCTTGGTGCAGACGCTCGATTTCTTCTGTCCTTCCATCAAACTTCTCCATTATTCTAGCTATTCGATCGTGCAGGCCATCCCGTTCGGCGACAAGTTCGTTGACTTCCGCTAGCCTGCGGTCTCTCTCTTCAGTAACTATATCGAGCTCCTTTTTCAGTTCCTTCGCCTTGTCCCCGCCTTCAGATACTAAATGATTATACCGCTCGTTCGCCTCAGCAAGTTGGGCTCGCAACACCCTATCGGCTTCTGCCATAGCCATCTGGAGCATCTCTTTTTCCTCGTTCAACATATCTAACGCCGCTTCAGCATCCGCTAGACCGGCACTCAGCTCCGTAACCTGTCGTGCAGCATTGTCTTTCTCCGTGGCGAACTCACGAAGTTTGAGAACCAAGGCTTCTTTCTGAGCTGTTAGCGTTGCAATCTCTCTTTCGCGCGCAATTTTTTCTGGTTGCATGCCTTCAAGTAACTGTTCGAGTTCAGCTCTTGCAGCTACGACGGAAGCTAGTTGTTCCTGCGCTTCCATCAACTCTTTGATGGATTGGTCCCGCTGATCAAGTACCCCTTCAATTTCAAGGCTTCTTTCGCGGGTAATGGACGCAATAAGTTCCTCTCGTGCCTGAAGCTCCGCCTCCAACAAGCGCACACGGTCCTCCGTTGATTCTCTTTTCTGAATCTCCTCCGCAAGTTGTTGTTGCAATGAATGGACTTCAACAGTCAACTCTTCCGCAGAAGCAGCCAATTGCTCTTCTTTCGCCGCATGCTCCTGAAGCTTCTGGTTCAAGGATTTGATGTCGTTGTCTTTTGCGGTAGATTCACTGGCTGAGCGGATTCGAAGATCTTCCAACTGTGCAGAGACTTCCTGGAGCTGTCTGGCCTTTTCGGCCAATTCGGCAGTAGCGTCATTCCGAACCACATCGAGCTGCGATTGTAAATCAGAGATCAAAGCTTGCCGCTCGTTCAACTCATCCATCATCATCGACTGCGATCGGTGCAACTCCTCCTTATGGGTCGCGTCCACGCTAGATAATTCTTCAACCTTCCGTTCCAAGGCATCCTTTTCCAACACCGCGTCGGCCTTTTCTTTGGTCAGCTGAGTAATCTGCTTTTTCAGATCCGCCACTTGATCAGTTAAATCTCGCATGGTTTCCACGAGTGTGTTGGTATCTTCTGCTGCTCTCAACTCCCGTTCCTTGATGTTTTCCTTCATCAGGTCCATTTCAGTAAGGAGCTGCTCACGTTCCGTGCGTAAATATTCTACGTCTGATTCCAACTGTTGGAGTTTACTTTCAGCCTCAGCATTGGCCGAGAGCAATGTGGGGTACTCGTTCCGCACACGTTTCACCTCCTCCTCCAACTCACGTACTCGTATTGTCATCGCTTCCTTTTCTCGTGTCGCAGCAGCGCTGCGCCCGCTCATATCCTCTAGCAGCTTCCGCATGTTTCCTACGACCGTGACGTGTTGCCGTCGTATTGCTTCATTGTCTTGAGCCAGTGTCTGAACTTGCATCTGTAGCTCGCCCTGTGTGCTACTCAGCTCTTCCATTTGCGATGCGTGGGCGTCACGGTCTGCCATCAATGTCGCATTTTCGTCGCGTAATGTAGTGACCTCTGCCTTGCATTGCTCGTACTCTTCAGTGATGGCCTGCAGCTCCTCCTTCAGCTTTTGCACCTGAGAAGTCAATTCGTCTCGTTCTAAAACCAGATCAGCATCGGGCACTGTGGAGGGCCCACTAGACGCCGCTGTGGCAGCTTTGCTTGCTAACAGCTCGTTCTCCGTAGCAAGGTCGCCATGCGCTTTCTCTAACACAGCCAGCTGCTGCCTGATTTCCGTAATTTCGGACGCTTGCTCCTTGGTAGTTTCTTTGGCATTTGCAAGCTGATTGCGCAAGTCTTCGATCACTCCCGTTTGTTCTTCGGACGACGTGGCTGCTCCCTGCCCAGCCACCGCCTGCATCCGTTCCAGCTCGCCCCGTACTTCCTCCAACTCTGTTGCTTGCTGCTGAATAGTATTTTGTGCACTATCCAGTTGACTTCTTGTCATCTCTAGATCGGCATTCAACTGGGCGCTGTCATGATCTACAGATCCGGGTACTTCTGCCGATTGCAGCTGAGAAAGCTCCAACTCCAATTGCTTTATCTTACTCTCGCCCGCAAGCTTCTCCTTTCTAAATATCTCCGCATCCTCCCGCATCTGCTGTATCATCTCCAGTGCTTCATCTGAATGTTGTTGTTGCTCCGTGCGCCCTTGTCGCAGATTTTCGTTTTCCTCCTTCAGCGCTTCCAGCTGCTGTGCCAGTGTGTCCGTTTCATCCAATCTGGTTCGCAGTTGCTGAAGCTCCCGACTAAGCTCGGTACGCTCAGCTTCTGCTTCTGTTGCAGCACTGCGAGCTTCTTCGAGGTGCGCTGTCAGTTCCGCAATCCGCCCGTCCATATCCGCTGCGACTTCCGCTTTCTCCTGTGGAACACCATGCACCTCGAATTGTTTCATCTTCTCCTTGAGCTCCCGATTCTCGTTGGAAAGCTCCCGCATGCGTCTCGCCAAATGTTGATTGTCTGAAGCAAGCTCCCTTACTCGCTGTATCAGGTCTGGCTCGGCGGGTGGAGGTGGTGTAGCTATTCTTTGTACATTGGGAGGAAATGTGGGCACAGGCGAGCCAGATCTGGGTGGATCCGTTCGGTTTCGCAGACCTGTGAGGGTTCCCAGTGGCGACGCTGACCTGTTCCAAGACCGCATGAGCATCTTTCTCTCACTTAGAGCCATCCAGAAGAAATCTAACACATTCTACCACTCCACTTTCACATCCTAGACATACCTCTCATCAGCTGCGATACTGCTCGTGGATAACATACTTCCTGTTCGCGGCCGGCCGCCAGCATCCGCATGTAAATTCTCCACTGAGCTTTCCGGAGACACAACTCTCGAGTCGGGTGGCGACCCAGCCGTTTCGCTCGGCGTAGCACTCGTGGACCGTGGGAGGCCAGCAGCTCGTTGCTTCTGGTATTTTGCCAGCTTCTTTTTTGCTGCCGCGAGCTTTTGCTCGCGCATCGATGACGTGTACATGGTGAAAAGTAGACGGGGTGCAATAGCACCCACTTCTTACGTGGTATGCTCCACCTGCCTTAGGAACTAGATTGTAAAGACAGGCAAGCGACAAGATTGCGTTCCAAAACCGGAAATGGCCAACCTGTGCTCATGACATGCTTGAAGGACCGCGATATGCTCACGTGACTTGTGATCAGGGGAACCCCAGCCCTTGAGGATCAAAATGGGAGCATATCAAGGATTTATTTACGGAAATTTGGCATAACACCTCATATGTAGAGTATGCTTGTCGGGCATATCAGCGCACCCTAATAGTATCCCCTCTTTGCGCAAAATTCTCTAAGCGCCTTTGTTTGGATGTTCATTTTCTCCACAGCAAACCATCCATCAAAACGGTCTCTCTTCACCGTTGTCTTGCCAGTTGCGTCAATTCGCATGTTTACGTGCACAAAGCTGCCTACAGATCTCTCGTCTTCCATCGTAGCCAGCAGGCATTGCATAGCACCTCCCCCATCTCCCCGCTCCGCCATCTCGGTGTGTCCATGGTCTTACACTCGCCACAGACCCCGTCTTCAACAACAACTTGCCGTGTTCGCTGGGAGGAAGGCGTTGCTAAAGGCAGCTCCTCAAAATGTTTTCCAGTCGGTCTCCAAAGCTTGCCCTTACTGTGGTAGTGATAGTGTCCAGATGAAACGAAATTCGTCAGTTCCGCAGCAATGCTCTTGATTGTGGCCCGGATGCTATTACGATGTAGACATTCCTGCATCCAGTGCGTCGTGTGACTTACAGCACCCTGTGTGGCGAGGAGTCTGGCTGAAATCTCGGAAATGGCGTCGTGAAGGTTTATGGAGTGTCGTCGGGGAAGCTCTATGATGGGGAGGTTGTCAGGATGATGGGTTCTATGATTATCTGGCGTTGCACTTGAACCCTACTGAATATGTGAACATCGAAATACAACGCCATACACTCTGAAATAAACGTTCCTTACCGGTTGTACGCTGGGGGATGTCGGCAGGCCTTCGCTATCTCGTATACTTCTCTGAGAGATGGGTTCACGTACCTAGATATCATTACGTAAGCAGGGACAACGAGAGGTAACAAGGCTCTTGTCAAGTCACACAACACTACCAGAGGTGACAACGGAGACGGCGTAGACCCAACCCGGATAGTCGTAAATTGCCGGCTTGAGCTCGCTTCCCTCCTCTGCTCCAGTTTAATAGGTGTGCTATCGTCTCCGAGTAGAGGTACCGGGGTGGCAGCGATCGGCGTCCGCGATACAGGTGTTTCAGCGCCTCTTAAATCTATCCGAAAGACAAGTGGATTTGTCTTTGTCCTCTCTATCAACTCCTTCACATTAGAGCCTTCAAAAGGACTGTCATCGAGGAAGAAGGTCAATTTCTCTGCGTGTCTGTCCAATCGATTCCATTCTGCGATTCGGAGGACGATCTGTGCCCAGTTGTCTTGATAGGCACTGACGGGGAGGAGGATAGGTTCTGGAATGTCGTCACGCCGTATGCTTATTAGTTCCATTATTTGACGAGCAAAGTCTACGGAGGAAAGTAAAATGGCATCCAAAGCATGTCGTTGTTTGGGGCTGCGCTTGTGTGCTTTTGATGAGTCATCGCGCTCAGGGTTTCATTGGAATTTACAATATCCAATGCAAGATATCATTGCATTCATGCGTCGCAGACATGCGCAGACATCAAAAGAGACGAGCAAGCGTCCACAGACATTGCAGCAACAGGCTGGCGAAATATCTAATCCATCGGACGTCATTGCAGCTGATTAAAGGGCTGTCTATAGGAAATCTCCGATCCCTTCCAAATAACCTTTTGTTTTCGCGGGTAACTCTTTATCCCAGTAACCAGGAATACAAAAAACCTCCGAAAATATCAGGAATGTTAGGCTTCATGCTTACACACAAAATCTTTCTCTATGGTGAAATATCCAAAATGATAGATAATTGCACCCCTGTATAAACAAGACAACAAAAAGCATGTCATACAAAAAAGGACCCCACTGTATTTGCAACTAACCAACGACAACATATGGCCACGCCGACCTTATCACCTGCCGAACGACTCGCAGCTTTGGAACGAGCTATCCGACGTCGCTCTGATGCGTCGGATGCGTCCATCATCAGCGGGACCGATGATGAGGATGATGTCGAGACGGCAAGACGAAAAAGCACTGCGGGGAGGCTGGTGTGGGGTGAAGGCGGTGAAGGGACATGGATGCCTTATGGAACTGAAGAGGAGGCAGGGACAATTTTGCCGGGGTCCGGGAGGAGGATTGGAGGTGTCAAAAAGGTGGAAAAGGATGATACAGAGGCCGATGGTGAGGAGTACAAAGAGAATAGTGGAGTAGACGAGGTTGAAGGGGCTGATGAAAATACTGACATGATCCCCGCATCCGAGGCAGATTCAATGCACCATCCCGAAATATCAGGAGCACCTATACACAGAGTTGGATCAGATCTTCCCCTTTCACCATCACCACCACTTGTAGAATCCACCTCAAACATCACATCGGAGGCATCTCTGTCATCCGCCATCCCTCTCCCACGAAGCGATACCCGAGCCGTGAGCTGGGCCGATGCCAACAAAGATCGAATCATTGTGGGCGAGATCCCTGCATTCGCTATGCGCCCATTGCACGAACCCACCGAAGGATTGACATCTTTATCATCGTCTTCATCTTCCTTGAGTGGATTTACAGGGGATATTGCGTCAGATGCTAGACGCGGTAAGCTTGCATTTTGTCGTCGTCGATGATTTTGAACTGTAGGATTTGATGCGCTGTTGGAATTTCAGTGCATTCCGCTCTTCAGGCTATGGAAGCAGTGGACAGATTTCTCTTGGGTTTAGACCGACCTTCAATGGGATTAGATAGTCAGACCACCGATGCTGTGTCGACCGAGGAGGCAGAGACAGCGGCAAGTCCTGCCAGTGGACCCGTCCTGCGGCCAACCTCTGCATCCGTTCGATTAAGCGATTCAGCATACTTGCAAAGCCATCGAACCCAATCAACCCCCATAACTCACGACGAACCCCTAAAGCCATACAACCGTGTCCAATCTGCTCCCGCTTCCCGGTCCAGAGGCACGTCTTTATGGCGAGGGAGTCGAACGTCGATATCAGCAAGCGGATCCCGTCCCAGTTGGTCCGCCTCGGCGGATTTTCGCAGACCTTCCGTTCAATTTTCTCTTTCATCTTTTCCACATACCGATTCGGATCCTGCTGAAGTTCGGAGGGATGCCAGTGCACAGGCCTTGAGGAACTCTCGGACCAGTATTACCGAGCCCAAACCACGGACAAGGGAGCGATCTTCCATGTCGGCCCGTATGGAAGATCTAGAAGTCGCCAAAGCCCGGTCCATTGCAGAAGCGATCACCCGAGCTGCTGCACAATGGGATCCATCTCAACGCCAAAGCAACAGCTCCTTGTACAGTTCTACTCGACCCAGCCGACCTGCTTCGGCACTGACGCTTGAAAAGAGAGCTGCATCGGCTGCATCGTGTGCGGCTGCTGCTACTGGTGGGAGGAGAAGCCGACCAGCCAGTGGGCGAATTGGTACTTCAGTACAAAATCTGGACACTAAGCCAAGTGAACCGCACCAAACCGGATTCCGTCTACCTAAAACCCCAAAAGAGCTCTGGTCTCTCGTTCGCGAAACCTACTGTCCGCGAATTTTTGATGCATTATCGGCTCGTGTTCCCCAGCCAATTCCGTACACCCTAACACTTCGCCATGGATTTCAGTTCAAGTATAGCCTTCGACATAGGCAAGCTCTAATCTGGGTGTGCCCGCATCTCAAAGTCCCTATCCACCACGCAGACGGAAAGCTTGAGTCTGAGATGGACGGCGAAGAGGAAAGCCAGTCCCCAAAGGACAATGTCGATGATTCCGAATTCGATCTAAGAGCGCTTCCAGGACAATCAAAGTACCATTCGTACACCTTTGCTGCGGTCGACCGAACCGGCACTATTTCCTTATGGGATGTGGCGAGAAACACGGACACCAATCGTCCTAGGGGAGTCGTCAAATTGATGACTGAAATTACGGAGTTTGTCTTTATAAAGAAGTTTGCCGTATATGCTGCGTGTTCGCAGGATAAGAATATCAAGGTGCGTAGTATCTAGTACCTTCTTAACGTTGTTCATGTATCGGTTAACTGATGCAACGACCGTATCTACTCAGTTCTTTAACTCGCGATTTGAAATGACAAATCTACACCATACAATGGAGCCAATTCTATTGTAAGTATTCTACCAAGTCAAGATTCCTGGGCATGTCCATCTCATTAACTCGGCGTTACCAAAGCATACGCTATAATTCCCTCAACCATGGTCTCGTTACTGCTGGATCACATTCAATTTGTGTGAGTACGTTAGACAAGCTACTGCCTCGGTGCGAGATACTAAACTGCGACAACAGGTTTGGACAATGGAGGCTACAAAACATCGGTGCGTATAAAATCCGCATATGACGAGTTTCCTAGACTGACCAGGCATCCGACACTCTCTAGCAACATTATCCGCGTCGTACCAACTGTAAAACATACGTTCCACACGCACCTTCCTCGCGACGAATGGATCTCTAATCTTTACCTTGACGAGAAGAATCTCCGTATCTATGCCGTGGTCGATACGAAGATTTTGGTAGAGGGCAAGATGGCTTTCCATGCACTGCGTACTCGCTAGATACTGACCATGGATGGCGTAGGTATTTCACCAGACCCACGGCACTCATATCGACACCCTTCGCAACATCTCAACCCGCCACGTAAGCGCCCTTATCCACCACGACTTTTATCAATACACCTTGATTGCATGCACTGATGGGAGCAGTACGTTGGTCACTTCATACACGTCCCCCGCTGTAAGCTATTGACTGATCAGCTCCTTGACCAGTTCAAGTCAGAAATATGAACAACGCGATTGTGCATGAATTTACCGGGCATACGAAGCCTGTTACGTCCCTCGCGCTCTACCCGCAGGGACCAATGATTATTTCCTGCGCGATGGATTATACAGTGCGGGTGTACAGTTTAAAAACATTTAAAGAGATTTATTGGTATGCGCTTTGGTTTTTCCTTTTGTTTATCGAGATCATGTGAGGATAGAATATGTAATTTCTTGATACTTCTTATTGTTTGCTAGCTTGCATTTAAGAGAACGACCGCTGAGTCTGACGGTCATAGATGATGATCAGTTGCTGATACGGACGAGAGAGACCATCGATGTCTGGAGTCTAAACCACATCAATTCCGGATTCTCGAGTCTAAAGTAAATCGTGTTATCTCCTTTCACATGCCCGCCAATTTACAGTGCTCATCCGACGTTTCAGCTCTCATGTTAAAACCCTGCTTCGAGTCAAATCTCCGGGCATCCAGCCACGGATTCTCGTCCGGACCGAAGACGGCATTGTTCGTCTCTTGTCCCCCGTCAACGGGAAAGCTATCACTACCGCCCTGCCGCTTCTCGAAACGGATTATCTGCATGATTTAGCGTATTGTTCCAAGATTGGTTTGTTGCTGTGCTTTTGCGCTGAAGGACAGTTGTGATCAGAGGCTTATTTTATGCGCCGTACTTGGCTCATTGGACCGTCAACAGATCGAATGTTTTTTATGCTCGAAAATGGCGAAATATGGGTCATGGCCACTAATTTCAATCCGTGCGTTGTGGTCGATATATGGAAACTAGGCGAAGCAGGTGCCGTTTCTTTTGTATATGTAATTAGACCATTATTACCCTGCCATCTCACTTTCGTTCATCTGCCACTCAGTCCGCGAAGACTGCAGCCACATTGCAATATTTGACGGTCGCTTCAGTCCCGCGGATGAAGTTCCCCCTGGGTATGATTCTGTGAAGGGGTATGCATTTTTATTGGGTGCGACCCGTAATGGGCAGGTGCTTGTATATGGGAGAAGAGGGGGTGTGAGGGATCGGTATCAGGTTGGTTTTCCTTTGTCTTTTGTTGCTAGTCTTTGACTATGTATTTGGGTGACATATGAAAAATGGCAGCTTCATAACGCAGAAATCACTCAAATGCTATGCGACCAAAAGCAACAGCTTCTCTTCACATGTGGAGCAGGTAATTACCCCGTAATTTCGAATTTTCCGTTTACCCAATATCATTAAGCCCTGGTTCTGTCAGACGAAACGATCAAAATAACAAAGGTCTCACCAACGTCTCCAGAGATCTTGCACCCTATTCTGTCCATCCGAACCCACTTTATTCCTCGGGTGATATCGGTTCTCGGTTCAACAATATGTGCTGCCGCCGAGGAGGGGAGTCTATGGATGTATGAATTTTCTGTTGAGAAAAGAGGTACGTCTTTCTTTTTTTTAAAGTATTTACTGCATGGGATTTTGATAAAGTCGGACCTTGTTTCGCGGAGGGTAGAATGGCGAATGCATCCTACCCACAACCGAAGCGATGATCACACAGACAATGTTACAGCCATCTGTCCGATCCCAAAACTGGACCTTTTCGTTAGTGCCAGCAAAGATGGAACACTGCGGGTGTGGGATACTGGCAATACCCTCGTAAGGTATCTTGTAAAAGCCCGAGCAGATATGCAGGACATGATGGAACTGAAACAAGTCAATAGGGAACTTCAGTTCCAAGAATCTATCGATAGTCTATCCATCGCCAATGCGCATGGTGACATTCTCTTTGGCATTCAAAACCGTGTGGATATTATCAAGTACCAATCCTGTAGGCTCAACCATTCCGATATTGCTTGTCCTTTCTCTGAAAATGTGACACCTTGTTTTTGCATTTATTAAAGATCTACCGCCCGGCTATGTACAAACCGTTCAAAAGATGGAGCATAAAGAATACGTACCAGAGCAACCTGTTCCGTTTGATGACGCAAGGATAGAGTGGAAAAACCTTTTATGCCGAGGCCAAAGAAAACTGTATGTGCGTCAGTTTCCTCGCGATATCCCGGCTAACCCCCTGTCCTCCATCACAGCGTGCTCAACACCCAAGACCCGTGGTCCCTCTTTCATGACATAAACCTCGTCGGTCCCGAAAAGCCCTTCGAAGGCCCTGAACCTCCACACTCGAAAGGCGAACGAGACATGTACAAAGATCTCCTCGAAAGACTGGATCTCATTGCTTTACAGCGACGACAGATTGTCGAGATGGCTAAACAGAGGTTGGAAGCGGAGCAAGCAGAGGGTGTGAGAGAGGACGAGATACTCCATCAGGAGTTTTTGCGGTATATGCGGAACAAACCCTTTTGGGGACTCTCCCGTGGAGGAAGTATGGGGGAGTTACGACCAACAAGTCCGACTGAGGGGCCGGGGAGGTTATTGGATATTCCTGTGCCTATATCTCGAGAGGCGGGCGTTGGGGGAATGGTTGGCGGCGAGGTGATAGAGGCAGGCGGGGCAGTGGTGATGGTAGGGAAGGGCGAAGTTTCAGAAGGTGGGTTCGTACATCCCAAGACATCCTCCGCCCATAGCGTTACTTATTGATATGCTTTTTCACAGCGATAACCCTTCCATCCCCTTTATCCAATGAGGACACCCCGCCTCCGTTACCAAGTAAAAAGTCTTCCAAAAAGCGCTTTCAAAAACGTCTCATCTTTGCTCCAGACGGCCAGCTCCCAAACTCCCTCCTTCACAAGGAAGTCCTCGATTGGAAATCCACTCACTCGACATTTTCTCTTCCAGCTGCCGTGATACCCCGCGCAGGGAAGCCAAAGACATCTACTCCGCAGTCAACAGATGATACAAAGAAAAAGCGGAGCGAGGAATACAAAAAGCGGTTAAAGGAGATGTTGGACGCGTTGCCGAGGGAGGAGGAGGTTACAGGTGGACCGGAAGGTGGGGAAGAGGTTGTGGTAGAGGAAGCGGAAGAGGAGGAAGTGGAAGAAGCAGAGCGGGCTGCGAGGTTGCGATTACCTCCTCAGAGAATGCGGTTCGGGACCTTGGAACCGCGGGTGAAGGAAATGGTGGAGGTGAAGTTACCCATCGTGGTCGAAAAGCTATTGGCGTATGACTGGGTGCCTGTCGATCAGGTAGAATACTCCAAAATTGTTATCGAAATTTATTCATGGCAGTCGCCTAATGTCTCGTTCCAAAAAGCTATTTTACCCGCCACAGGACCCAACAAACCCCCCTCCTCCGACCTCCCGCAAACTTGTAAGTCAACCACGTTCCTCCTCTTGCTAGCTCTTATCTAATCTCCTCTACAGAAAATAGATGCAGATTCGCATACACTTCTCCCTCTCGTCCTCGACATCTTTCGTACAACAACCTCCTCGCAGACTCGGATGGAAATTGTGGAATATATCAATTGGATGTATGAAGAACATGGTATTAAGGACGCGACAGGCATTGTAAAGGCGTTTTGTAGAGTACTTGGTACTGCTGAGGCAGATGGAGAGCAGGATGTACCGGTACGTCTTGTCTTGCTTATTTGGAGTAAATTAGGGTGATGAAGGGCCCATTTGCTAATGTCATGTCTTGGGCAGATGCGCTGTGCGCTCATTGAATCCCTAGCCCGTTACGGCCCAAACCACGTTGACGTTGTCCCTAGTCTCCTCATGCAGCTCGCTTCCCGTCACGAAACAGTTCGGTATGATCTTGCTCTTTTTATACGTTCACGTCACTTCTGTTAACCTCAGTGCATTGGGTGACATGACGGATCTGTCATGAACAGTAATCGCGCGATACAGTTTTTGAAGGCGTTGGGCGTACATACACCTGATAATCCGTTTCTGGTTCACGCTGTCGAAGAGATTTTGAGCGAGGTGAGGGCGTGGGTGCAAGAGCAGGTTTGTTTTGTTTTTTTGCATGTGCATTTGCTTACGGTCTCTTTTGGGCGCAAAGGTCGTGGCGACTACTAAGGTAACGCCGCAACCTGCTCATCCGGGTCCGACGACAGCTTGGGACACCACGAGCGTCACACAATCACAAGCACAACAAGAGACCTCACGTCCCCTGTCTGCAACATATCAGGATCCTCGGATACCTTTAACAAATTTTATTCGCAAAAACTTGAAAAAGTACCTCCTTCGCTCCACATCCAATAAAGAGGTTGCGCAGAAACTAAAGAAGCTTAACATACATGGTGTGGAGGACCGGACCCTGGAGGAGAGGGGCGATGACGAGCGGCCGGGAAGTTCCAAGAGCAGACCAGGGACAGCGGGATCTAGGACGCATAGTAGACCTGATAGTGGAGGGATGGGCTCGCGGCCCGGGAGTGGGAAAGGTGCACGGCCTGGCAGTGGCGCTAATGCGCGGCCTGGGAGTGGGTTAGGTGCACGGCCCGGCAGCGGGGTTAATGCGCGACCTGGTAGTGGAGTTACTGCACGGCCCGGGAGCGGGGTTGATGCCCGATCTGAAACCGTGATGAAGCCAGGACTGGGAAGGGAAACTTCTGGGGTATCTATTGGAGCAGGAAAGCAACCGGATACCGAGAAAGCGGCGGAAGTGAGGCAGTCTATCCCTGGACGAGGGAAAAAGCGCGTGGCGTTCGGTACTCCGCTGTCGTCAGCGGGGGCATTCAAGTCGCCCAGTGCACAAGCCGATAAAGGCTTGTTACAGCAAGATGGAAGAAGGATCTCAATAGAGATCCCTACTGCGCCCGACGCGGGGATACTAAAACATGATGGGATGAGGCATTCAGTGGACATACCGGAATTGGAATGGATGGAGATGGTTACCTATCGGCCGTCTGTACCTCTGGGAGAGGGTGATATGGGATCAAATGAAGAGGTGAGCAGCATCGCGTCGTTCGAAGAGAGTTTACGCTCACATTCAACAAACTTGTCTGGTAGACTCCCTTTTACCAGGCCTTTGAAATCGATCGTCCACCATCTTCTCGAAATCCCGTCACAATTCTTCAAAACCCTTGCGGTCAGGATTTTATCAATGCCCTCAATTTCTACATCCTTTCCCGGGAACGGGCGGCAGCGAAAGCCGAACAAGAACGGCTTGAAAAGCTTCGACAAGAATCGGAAGCAGCGGCGCGGATGGCTGCAGAAGCCGATAAGAAGCAGAAATTCATGGAATACATGGCCAAAAAGGAGCGGGAGCGGTTAGAGAGATTGGAGGCACGGAAGAAACGATTAGACGAGGCTAGGAGAAGGGAGGAAGCTAAGGCGCGCTTGCCCGCTTTGGTGCAGGGAAAGCTGAGTGCGATGAGAACACAAGGGATTGGATTAACTCATAAGAGTGAATGTCATCCGTCCAGGGAAACGCTGGATTACGAGTATCGTACGTACAGGATATCAAATCGGCATTGACAACTTTATATATTGCAATTACTAACACCGGTACCTTTTACCAATCCAGGTAAATTCCCACCCATCGCCGACGGGCATACTCACGGCCCGCACCACACAGGGATCTCAATGCATATACAAAAGTACAATCGGTCAATGCCGATGGAACGCGTGGAGATTGTCCCATTCGATCCTTTCCTTCAACGAGAGACCACACCACTCAAACGTAATTCCCCGAGGACATTTTCTGCCGCCCGGCCGCCCACGTCCATTCCACTTGGTTCAACCCTCGTCCCATCCCAACTCGTTCCGCAATGGCAAGAATTCAATATTGAGAACTCTGAGGCTGTTATCGAGAGGGAATTAAGGGACTTTTTCCCAGATGGTGATCTAAAATACATTCGCGCGGGGCTGAAGAGTGCTGAAGCGGCAAGTGGCGGAATGGTGCACGACGGTGGGGCGGACACCAAGTTTAGAACGCAGAGAAAGTACTTTATCCCAGCGCTATCGATGGCGCTTGAGACCGTAGCCGCGGGGCAGACCTACGGGCTGGCCGATTGATGTTTGGATCGTGTAAGATGATGGGCTGTAAGCCCTTTGTAGATAGACTATCCTTTATGTAATATTTGTTCAGTGACGCTGGTCACTTTGACTCTCGCCCTCCTCAGTCTGCAATGCAGTCAACCTGTCGAAGAGGCTTTGGTGAAACCTCCCCCGATACAAGGGACTCACGGTACTCAAGAGGGCATCCATACTTTCAAACCCCGCATTAGCAAATTCTAAAACCTTTGATAAAGTCGTTCTGGCCGTCTCATTGGCTTCATTGGCCAAATGTGCCGAAACGATCTAGAGATGCTTACAACGCGTTAGAGACTTTTTGCACTCGTGTACGCGCTCAACCTCTCACCGTGAAACCGCAATCTGACAAGCTGATGACAAGCCAGACACCTTCCAGAATGCACAATTGAAGACGTGGTCTCTGAGCGCTCGATGCCGCATCGTGCCTCTCTATGAGCGAGATGGATCCAGGACAGACTTTATCGTCGTATTCTTTCAGTGCATTCAAAAGCTCTTGCCAAACCAACTGGTCGTGCATGTAATCTGCCTTTCGTTTACGAGTGGGAAACATGAATGAATGGCAAGATGGGAAAGTCCAAACGCGCAGGAATTGAGATGCCATTCCGTCCGCGCCACAGACGCCACAAGAACACGTACCAGGTTGCCGGTCCCACTTTTGGGAATTCGACTGCGCCGCTTGCAATTTGGCGGCCAATGGCGTATTCACCAGATAAGACGGACACGGCGATGCACGGTTTTCTCCGAAGATGATGGGTGTGCAAAAGTCAAGTCAAATGGTCGATGGCAGTGTTTGTTGAGCGTTGAAATCGCAGCAGTTTGGAAACGGAATACGATGGTTTCTTGAACTTTGGACAAAGCGCCTTCTCCAATAGCCTTTGGTGATCAGAACACACGTGGCTTAAGAAGGAGTTCCACCTGACGTATGATTCTAATGTGGATGGAATGCATGGGATGGAAGAATTCGACAAGCCGCTCTCCAATCGTCGCACCATTGATGGCTTGCATCAATTTAAAAACAGATATGGCGGTATTTGAATATGTGTTTCCAAAGTAAGATCCATGTATGCATGCATGTCATATTCTAGTGATAGTGATCATGTTAAAATGGCTGTGTGTATTCTGCAAGTGTTATTTCAAAAGTATAATAATAATATCTTACGGCTGTGGTCATCCGCCGCGCTTTTTGGCAACTCTCCTTTCCTGGGCTCCTATCAACAACATCATCATTCGTCAACCGCATTCGGAACTGAGGCTGAACTTGCATTATCTTGTCTTTTGACACTTCTGACACTATTTTTTTTTTTACTTTCGACAACGAACTGCTTCCGAGGAAATCCATCACGCTATCATTAGAAGGTTTCACATTTAGGGTATTGGCCCCGACGCTTTGCTTACCATCACATTATTATACGGATACCCTCGCGCCACTGGCAAGATCTGGAGAGAGAGATCACCTTGACTTTGCATTTTAGACAGACTTGTTCGTGCATTACATACAGACAAAAGTACAGCATTGCTTTCCAACGCGCACACTCTGAGACTTGCACCACATTCCGGCACGAGTGTCGCCATGAACGAGATCTCCGCACTCCAGGTCGCTGCGCCATCACCATTCCCCCATCTGGCCCCATCCTCGAGATCCGGCTCGACCACCAGGCAGCCCCCCGCTCCCACGGATATCCCCTTGGCAGATGCACAGCTTCTTTTGCCAGACTTTCCGCTTCCGCTGCCTAATGTCGATAGCTACGACTTTTCGAGATCTTCAAACGGTTGGATAGCGGACGATGACATTTTGGGTGCGGCAGCCGTTTTGTTCAGCACAAAGCTCTTGGATCAAGCACATCGCGAAAAAGCCGCACAGCGTGTAGTGCCTGCGTTGGGCGCTTTTATACCCGGTCCCGAATCGCACCTCCCGGCCATTGCGGCCGAACAGCACTTTATCGGAGAATTTATTCAGCACGACCACGACTCCGACAGTGAAAGTGGATATCAAGATTCTTCCCTCCCATCGATTTCCCCACGCTCCTTTACATCAAGACCATCGGTCACGCACGATAACGTCTCGACAGACGATGAAGACTCGTCCCCGGAAAACTCCGCCAAGGCGCAGATTGCTACACCTCTGCGGCCTTTTCGCAAGTCCCGCTTGAAGAGAATGATGGAGCCAGACTCTGATGATGATGAAGGAGAAGGGAATGATTCCGAAAACGAAGGGCAAGAAGACAAAGAACAGAAAACGCAAAGTCAAGAAGAGCAAGATGAAGAGAGCGATTTCGCGTCCAAGAGAGTCGTTCGCAAACCACATGTAAAGAGAACTGCCAACCATCGCAAGACCAAAACCACACCATCACCACACAAGAAACTCAAAAAAGAGACATCAGCCGTTGTTGAATCACGTCCAAGGTCGGTTGAAAAAGACCGCAAGAGTCCCGTCAGAAACTTGACTCCTAGCCGTGGAGCGCGCAAACCCGCCAAGAGCAATGGTAGAAGGTGCGGCTATTGCAATGCCACACAAACTCCAATGTGGCGCCATGGTCCTCCAGGATATACAGACCTCTGCAACAAGGTGAGCAAGAGGGATTCTACGTGGATAGCTAAATATCGCCGCCCATCTTCTGCTTCCCTGTCTATGCAAGCATCTGATAAAGTTCCCGTCTGTTTGCATAGTGCGGCGTCAAATGGATGCGGGGACGGATTCTCCAAGACCCCACACCCACGTCTCCAGACACTGTCACTCACTAAATGCATCTCATGCGCCGCCGTACATCACTTTCAAAAATACACTATTACAAAAAGACATTCAAGGAACCATCCAGCTCGCTTGTAAATCCTCTACGTAGAAGTTGACATGGACGATGGACGAGCATAGAAGGGCTTCTTGGAAGGGACACTTTATTACCTGTCTGTTTTTCTTTTCAAACTTTTTTTTTTTTCTTTTTGACCTTCCTGTCTCCTTTTTTTTGTTGGTTAAACCTTTTTTACGGGGTGTGGTCTGGATTCGGGATTTGGTGGTGGAAGAAGGGGGGACAAGTTTTGTGGATCCTCCTTGTGAAAAGTAGTTGTGTTTTGTGCTGTGTTGGGCTTTGCGGGCTCAAAGTATACATCATGTTATTGGATGTCTTGCAGGTTGGCTTTTGCTACTTGGGTTGATGGTGTCATATGTCGACCTAGTTTACCAGGACGGGCTACACTGAGCTTCAAAAGCCTCGGCCAGTTCTTTCAGATCCGAAAACAAGCGTGATGCACCATGACTATTTACTTTACTGCGTGAGGGTTTGCAGCGATGAAATGATGGCCCATCCGTACTAACCGTCTTTGGATCGGTCAGTCCATGTGCAACAGATTATCCTTGCAGCTCGCACTCTGTATTGGAAGAATGAACAAATCATCTTTTTATTATTGTATTGGGCCTGAGGCTTTACCCTTTGTCCTTCCCCTCACCCGTTAACTTCAAGACGGCGATGAACTCAGAGTGGAGACTCGGATGGTCCAAGACACGGGCCCCATCACGGCTTTGACAAGAGTTAATGGGTCAACGCGCCATGTCGCCAAAACAAAAAAAGGAACTGTGGGACGATGTGCAGTTTTGGCCATATTGGCATCTGTGCAGTGTGGGGCAAGTTCTGTAATTGGTATATGTGCTATTGAGGCATTGGCGTGAAAGCCATCAACGACGATGAAATGCCTTCCAAGAGCATATCTGTTTAATACGAGGTCATCTATAGCAAGGCTAACCCACACAGGATGAACCATCAAGCAATGCATAGCTGGCAGATGCAAGCCAAGTCCTTCCAAGCCCCTCCGAACACTTTGACCATTGTGACCTTTCCACGCCAATGTGGCTGTGTGCCATTAGGCAAAAAAGAAAGCCAAGGCGAAGAGAAAAGAAGAAGAAGAAAAAGCGAGGAAATGTGTTTCCTGCGCAGGAGATCACGTGCGGGCGGTGTGGGAAAGTTATATTTGGTAGAGCGCGTTTTCACACTTGCCTCTCGTCCTTTCATTTAGACATCTTCTGGTTTGCTCTCCCCCGGCCCAAGGTTTCCAGGCTTCTTCAGCTACTCCATCTATACTTTTACAAACTGAATAAACCGATATGGAGACCGGGCAGCCAACTGGTGCTCCAATGCCTTCTGGTACCGCGCCTTACTCGGTGCCAGCATACTCGAGTGGGTCGCTTGTGTAAGCGCGTTCAATGCCTCATCTCGTATGCTTGTATTCATGATGCCTAATGGCTTTTGCGATACAGTGACATTCTAAAGCAACCCGCAACCATTCTCCGTATTCTTGAATGGTTCTTTGCCGTGATATCTTTTTCCACCATTGCATCCTATGGAAAAGCCGCGACAGGCACCTCTGAAGGCGGTTTCATGATCTTCACCGGAGTGGTCGCATGGCTTTTGACCATGGTGTTTCTAGCTGTGTATATTCTCCGTCCTCCTCAACTCTCTGGTCGCGTCTGGGCGTATTTTGAAGTCGCTGTCAGTGCGATTTGGGTGGTGTTTTGGTTTTCAGCAAGTATTGCGGTGGCAGCTTATGGCTGTAGTTTTGATTGTGCCAATTTTAATGCGTCGATTACGTTTGGGTAAGCTGTCTTTTCCTTTTTTTGGAGGGTTGTTCATGTGTACTGATGCTTTTACTCCTTGTATAGATTCTTTAGTTTTGCTGCGTGGGCTGCCAGTACTTGGTTCGCGTATATGGAGCTGAGAAACTTGTGAAAACCGTATCTCAAAGTTGTTCGGCATTAGATTCTTTATTATTAAAAAAGATCCCCTTTGTGAATATGTGTTATGGGACACCTGGCGCTCTGGGATCATTTTTGAGCTGAGGCTTCGTTTTTGGAAATAAAACCTTTTCAAGGTTGTTTGCATCCACGATATGTAATTTCCAGTCTGTGTCGTGATCTCTAGCGATGAGTATGAAAATAGCTACATGCGAAACCCGTTCTGGTGAGAAGAAATCCTTCACGGTGCTTTTTGACAACAGCAGTCCGTGTGAGACCACGGGGAAGGCTGTCCCCTTCAATTATGGACACGGAGGAATGCCCAATCTCTCGCAACTCATATTTGGGACTGAACCATCTATACGCCGGTTGCCGAGAAGAACAGAGAGAGCCTGGATGCTAAAGCCATGACATGCATCCTGGTGGGGATGCGAGATATGATCGGAATAATCTGTGTTGGTAGGGGAATTGGAGTGCCTTCCGAAATGAGGTCATGTTGCAGGACATAAGGATGATCTTCAAGTCATGTCATATCATGATCTATTTTACCTCCAGTGCGAGATGGGTAAATAACAAGTTTTGAATGATGATGATGTTCAATAGCTTGACTGGGCTACACACGCAAGCGCGGGGAATCCTCAGCCTTGAGCTCTTTGGCTTGTCGGCTTGCGACACTTGGAGAAAGGTCCAGTTATTTTCTCAAGACTCATCCGCCCCCGTCGTTGTTGAACAAGGTACGCAAAAAACTAGTTTGCAATGAGTTCAATATACCCGATGCTCCCCTGTATGCGCAATGCAGTTCCACAAACCCCATCTCCCCCTTTTTTAAACTTGTGCGTGCCCGTAACTTGTCTTTGGCTGTCTCGCCCGGTTGGGTGGTCTGATTTGGCCATATTCTACCTACTGCCCTCCGGAGTCAACTAAACCCATCGCAGTTAATCCCCAACCTTTGCATTCGCAATACTCTGTTGGACGTTGAGAGCCCTTGAATGGCCTGCTGCCTACAAATGCGCTTACAAAGAATGAAAGAGGTGGATGGGCGTTCTCGTTAACCTTGATTACTTGGAACGACAAGGGCTTAGAACGACAAGGGGTTTGGCAATTTCAATGATGAACCTAGACCTTGCCCAATATTGCTGGAGATAATAATGGAAATCCAGAACTCTGGGTTTATCCTCCTAAAGCTTTATAAATCGCATAACTCAGATGTCGCAGATACCCAAGGTCCTGGTGGATACGATAACACTGACCGCCCAAGGTACCTCTACTTTCAGTGGTAGCGGCGGCTTTTGACAACTCGGACCCGTGTACGGATGCTATCATAGCCCAGCTAAATGCAGCTAAATGCAATTAGCGCTGACCGCTCACCCGATCCTCAACCGTTCGTAAAATGTCACTATTTATAGACTATCTCTGCTCAGTCAAAGAAGTGAGACTAGATAGTCTTGCCCGTTTCTTTTTCTTTAGCGGCAAAGGTTAAAAAGATGACACAAAGACAAAGCTATCAAAAGCAACGGCCCTCCATGAAGAGCACCCCAAGATGCCCTTACACCACCATCCTTTCACAATGGACCCAAAACCAATGCTCTCAGCACCAGCTCAGATTCTCCCCGCCGAACTCCTTTGTCACATATTTTCCTACCTAACTCTCCGCGAACAGATTCAGATTGCCGTAGTATGCAAACGGTGGAGCGCGAGTATGGGCGAGGCAAGAGAGTTTGTGGCAAGGGTTACGGATCGGATGGCTCAAGTTGGATGTCAACGGGTGTTGAAATGCTTTCCGAGATTAAAAGTGATGGAGGTATGCAATACATTGTAGTTGAACTTTTAGGGAAGATGTCATTTGATTCTCATGCATATTGGCAATTCCATATCGACAGCTCCGATTACACAACAAAAACCAAGATGCCCTCGTACACTTTGGATCTACATTTACGGGCCACCCGACCCTTACCCACCTAATCACGGAAACGAGTAGCATCCTCCTCGCAGCCCTCCGGCATACACCCCGTCTAAAACACCTCACCCTGAAAGAAGATTTCAGCTCCCCGATTCCCCACCTACCCCGCGCAAACGTCAACTTCCTCTACGAGATATTTACAAAAGGATTTGAAACCCTCGATTTGGATGCTCCCCTCTTGTTTGCCATGGACACATTTGCGGAAGCTGTCGATGATGCCTTTGACGATAAGCGTGGAACAATGGGGAAATGGGTGTTACCCAATCTGAAGCGTCTCTCCATCCGGTCCCTTCAGAACAGCTCCATGTCAGACTTGATGACTGGATTCATGCCCCGTGTTGTCTTGACCGAATTGAAGCATCTGAACCTTAGCAGCAACGAAGCAACACTTCCGTTGGCGTGTCTAGGATATCTTGCTCATGCTACACCGAATTTGGAGTCGTTGCATGTGGCTGGCACTTGGATCGAGGGGCGGGATGCCGAGAGTTTTGTCGAGGTTTTGTCGAGACGGTTGAAAGAAATTGTTCTTATCGGCTGCGATTTACCGGGATTAGATCGTCGAGACGATTCGATCAACCTTGCGGAAGGAATTCTGACCCTCCTCACCGCTCATCTATCAGATGTGCAAGACATTCAAATCATCCACTGTAAATTCCGTACACCCGCTCACCCCATCCACAACTCCCACATTTCAAAAGGATCCCGCACCCTCAAACGGCTATCCCTCCTTGGATTTGGTCGGACCATGACAAGCGTCTCTTTCCTGTCCTATTACCCAGCTCTTGAAACTCTGAAACTGGACGACGTACCCAATTATGTGCCTAACCCCTCTGGCCTCGGTATGCGGTACATCCCACTGTGGGACTTTGTAGCGGGTGCTTTGGTCAACCTGGCAGAGCTCGACTTGAGATTCACCAGAGTCGAAGACGAGATTGACCATTCAATAATGTCCGACCATATTACAACGGTACCACCCACCCACCTACCCAACCTCACCACTCTCTCCCTCTACTCAATCCCAATTTCAACACTCTTACCTATCCTCGCAATGCACCCCACACTCAAATCCATCACGTTAAACCACCTCCCAGCAACAACTTTCCCCACAATGCTCCTAAAGCCCCAATCGCATCTAATCTCCCTTCCTAATCTCCGTATCCTGCACATCCACGCTCACGGCCCCATGTCCCCCCTCATTACCCGAACACTTGCAACAACTCTCACAAAAGCATCACAAGGACTCCATACACTGCACGTCCAATCCGCAAAACCAGCATTGGAAACGCATGCCCCGACCCTCGCCGCTCTTCTCTCCCCACCTAGCCCTCTTCCCCCCCAAGACGCAATAGACAGTCTGTGGATTTCAACACTGATGAGTCAATGCCCATATATCAGGACATTGAGAACATCAGGACAAACCCTCACACACGATGCCCTAGCGAGACTGTGTGCACCTGATGCTGTCTGGAAAGGAACACTTGAGAGACTAGAAGTGGCTTTGAGAGGTATACCGAGAATGGATGTTGCGTATGATTTTCTGTTGAAGGCGCTTTTGGAGGAGTATAGGATTTTGAAGGGGCTCGAGGTGTGTGTCGAGAGACTTCCTGATGATGTGGGGCCTGGAGTGGAGTTGGGAGAGGTGGGCGGTCGGGCAGCGAGTCGGACAGATGATATGATGGAGGGAGTCGAGATGTTGGCGAGGGCTGCAGAACCGGACTGGGACGCTGTTTCCTCATCTTCATCGCCTTCTTTATCATTTATCGAACCATCGCAGCCTCTGTCGGCGTACACCCTACAATCCATTGACACACTACATGCCAAACTCTGTGCGCGGTATGCAGACGACTTGAAGAGACTTGCCCCCTGGCTGGAGACATGCCGCGTCTGGGCCCCCGAGCTGAAGAGAAAATGGATTAGGAGCTTTTTGTTGCGGAGAATGCAAAGGAGGATTGGAGGCGACGACATGCGTGTGTAGTTTTGTTTATAATTTGTATATAGCATACATAGCATAGGAAGAGGTATTCACTTTTAAATAGTTGCACATGCAGAATTGTGTAAATATATATTGATTATAGTACAATGGCTGAAATGAACAGTATCGCAAATGGTTTGCCCATCATCGTTGAGCCAACACAACTTTCACCTACGGCGCAAAAACACTTTAGCAAACAGAGTCATGAAGATGGCCGACAACAGATTCCATGGGCCAAACAAAAGGATTCAGTGTAACTATGACTATATGCAACCTCCATAGCAGGAAAAGCGAAACCAAAACGGCTCACCAAAACTCCAAGTCAGGGGTGCGGAAAAGTTTATCATCATCATCCTCTTGTCCTATCCCATATATGCAAGACATACCATGACATAAACCGGAACTCGACATGGCAGCGCCAATACTTGATCGCCAACCTTGAAACAATAAATGTCAGAACGCATTTAAGGAATCTCATCCAGAGGCGCATCAGCAAGCAATCAGAGATGTGTGTGTGTGTGATTTTTTATCCTCCCCGCAAGATCGCCAACGACCTCACTAAGCATTGCAGAATCTTCTCTCATCACATTGCTCGGCCACTACGCATCCGCAAATAGACGACTCACCTGTTCCGGCGTCGTGTCAACGCCTTATAAGACGGGTATGTGCAACAGCTCTACCCGAGCTGAAATGTGCTCTCGTCAATCCTGGAGCAATGAGCCAAGAGAGAGCGTCAAGGGCAAAGCACCCAGGACGTGACGCAGGTGTGCATGATAGCACAGGAATAGTGTATGGTTGAAAACGTTTTATCGGAAGAGTTACATGATGCTCATCAAGTAAAGAAGAAGAAACGCTGGGAGGAAGGCGATCTGCGGATTTAAAAAGAAAGAAACAGGTCATGTGATTCGCCATCGCGTAAGCCACGATCGTAGAGTCACTCAGTTGACAAGCATTCTTTTGATGGGCAGCAGCGTCCGAGGCGAGCAGGCAACCGTCAGACTCGACCTTCCAACACTACAAATCTTTTGAGTGGATTGGTGGACAGCTGGAAGACATAGTATCACAATCTGTTAATGAGCAACAGACAGTGTCTTGCTATATAATGCAATAGTGTCAAACAAACGAGGAAGGAACCATGATGATGCTACTAAACAATCCAGTCCAGTCCAAAAGGATGCTCCGATATGCTATGTTTTGAGCGTATGTTGTATTCTCAATAACCTATGGCGAACAGCATATCAGGCGGAAGTAGTAAGCAGAAGGCAAATCTGACCACGTTTGACAAGGTCGCGAGATGCTCAGTTGTCGGCGAGGCACACACTACATAAATGATCAACAGCGCCGTACCATTAGACTAATCGCATCCACCTTGAAAGCTGAAAAAATACAGGGGTCAACTGGATATTTTAGGTATTGCTCTGCCTAAATACAATGCCGTACCAGGGCCCAAATGAGCTTCACACAGGTCCTCTATGAAAGCAACAGATTAGATGCACCTACCTGCTGACAAGGTATACACAGTAGAATAATAGCAGTTGAAGCATATTTTTAGGCAAAATGAGTAGAAGCCACTATCGGAAAAGGTTAGGCACATCTTTGAGGGGACGACCCATAGATCAATGAGAGAGGAATAAGAAGAATATCAGATCGGATCGCCGGTGGAGAGACTAACTGGATACACCTGCAATTGGGAAGGTATGCTTGGTCTGACAGTGGGATGGAGGAATCGAGAAGATGAACGAAGAAGAGGGCGAATGCGAGTTATCTTATAGAGGTCACTGCTGGTCAATAATTATTGAATCTAAAGAATTGGATGGGCTTGGGCTTGGAAGACAGTGTTATCTTGAGAAAATGGTGAATGGTCCAAATCCTGCAATCATTCTCTTTGGCACACCATGTGCTGTCTAAATACACTCAATGCGGTGTGGTCCAAAATGCAGTGAATTGATGCTGATCACAATTTGGCCTTCCCGCGGCCCATCCCTACAACCACTCCGTGACTCGCATCGCAGTACCCTCGCTCCACCAGCCCCTCCGCCCACTCTTTGATAAACGCCCTGGCCTCGTCCTGCTCCGCTCCATTTGGATCGAAACACTGATACCCTGTATGAAACCGGTAAATCGATATGACCGGCCAATCTGAGCTGCTCATGTCAAACTCGACAAATGGGTCGTAATCAATATCATAGGTGGAGACAGTGTAGTGAGCTAATCGTAGGACAGGGCCTTCGCGGGCGATGATGAGGGGCCGAGAATAGGCTGTTGCTCCTTCTATTCATAGTAGTCTGAATGAGTTATTTTCGACGAGGATTCGTCAACTGTACCACCTGCCTTTTGGACGTATCTCTATGCTCCACAGTGTGCCGTCTGAGGCGGCATCAAAGTCTAGGAGGAGGCCATACGCAGTAAGAATATCGTTTAGTACGGTTTTCATGTCCATCCCAAAAGGTCTCTCGTTGACGGAGGAGACTGCAAGAGGTGAGTCATGCTGCCCTGCTTTAGTAAAATTGAGCGCATCAGACGCTTGGCGAAAGCTGCTATTATAGTAGATGCTTTTTACAAATGGAGTTTACTTTATGACTTCTACAATGGTTTCTTGCTATGGCATTTGCTTTTGCCGTAAGTTACTTGTAGAGCCTTTATTGATTACCACCTTGATCGTTGATATGGATCCTCTGTCAATCAACATCTGCCAACGACATTAATTTCTTTATAGCTGTGTGATGCTGGCATAGCATCCCAGATCAGCTGGAATGTAGCAACTCATTTGTTGATCCCCCTCTCGCAGCAGATGGCATACATGGCAGCCCGGACAGCATTGGCAGAACTATCAGCAACGCTCGTTGAAAGAACAAGCGCAACAAGCGCCCTTCAAAGCAATAATCTACTTACATAAAACGTTGCTCAATATCGCAAAAACGGTGAAAGCCCTTGATACAATCCACACATCAACAAAGCAAATGCAAAAGCGGTTCAATTAACTCCCAATTGGCGATGAACGGCGAGAACGGCAAACGCGGCAATGTACAACGATCGATGACTCATCAGCGAAAAGCCACTTGTTCCATTCAACCGACCTATTTGTTCCATCTTTCAGCATCTTTGTCGCATTCACCGCGTTTAAACCTGAACCCGACACAATGCCACGCTACAATTCAGACAGCGACGACGACCGTAAAAAGAATCGGAAGAACAAGAACGATAGTGATAGTGATGATGACCACCGAAGAAAGCATCAGGGAAGGAAGAACCACAGCAACAAGGACGATAGCGACGACGACGACAAGAGGTATAAGAAATCGGATGGGAGGAGAGATTATGAACATGAAATTTCGGCAGGCGTGAACAAACTGTCGGTCGGTGCGGGTGAGCAATTTGACGAGTCCCCTTTGTTTATATGTGACGATTGACCGCGTCGTTATTAGGACAAGGCTACGGACAAACTTTTCAACAGCAGCCAGTTGGGTACGGAGGTCCTCAGACTTCTCAGACTCAAGGATATAGTTCAGGTGGAGGAGCGGGAGGTTATGCCCAAAATAGTCAGTACAATGCTCCTCCAGCAGGCTACGGACAAACGTCTCAACAGCAGCCAGTTGGGTACGGAGGTCCTCAGACTCCTCAGACTCAGGGATATAATTCGGGTGGAGGAGTCGGAGGTTATGCCCAAAATCCTCAGTACAATCCTCCTCCAGCAGGCTACGGTCAACAAGCAGATCCTGGAAGAAACTATCAAAATCCATCGTCGGGCTACGGAAGTCAGGGGTACACTGGCAACGGCTATCAACAACAGCAAGCGGGTTACGTCGGTGGCACACAAACTCCGTCAAGTACGAATGGTAACACCCTCGCCCCGGCTCTGAACTTTGTTGGCCCTTTCCTCCGCTTTCACGACATTGACACTGAACGCCGTGAGTGGACGGGATCTGTCTTGATCGTCACCCGGACGCGTCCGGATCGTCCCCCAGTCTGTGCCTATAGCGATGGCACGAGTCCAGCCAAAAACGCTCCGATCAGAGAGCTAGCAACCTACGAAAGCAATGTCTTTTACCGGTTTGATCTTGTTGTTCCTTTGACAAACGGCGGAGATAAGGCAATTGCCTACACTATCAACAATGGAACTCCGTATACCTTTTACGTGCCACCGCTCGGAGCTGATTGTCGCGTAATGGGTATGTCCTGCAATGGTTTCTCCTCAGACGTGACCAACCCAGACGAAGCCGGCGGTATCACTCCTCTGTGGAAGGATGTTCTCCGCCGTCACCATGAAAAACCTTTTCACGTGATGTTGGGAGGGGGGGATCAGCTGTACATGGACCCTATCTTCACCAGCAATGACGCCATTTTGGAATGGCTGAAAATTGATGGACGTGAGGCAAAGAGCCAAGCTCCTTTCACACAAGAACTGAAGGCGAGCGTAGATAAATTCTGCTTTAACAACTACGTTAAATCATTTGGTCAAGATGTGATGAAGGACGCTTTTGCAACAGTGAGTGTCGTTCTTGATGCAATATCCTGAGCAACATCCTTAATATCTTTATTATGCGTAGATTCCGTACATTTTCCAGTGGGATGACCATGGTAAGTTGGAGTATCCAAACTAGTCAGCCCTAATTTTGGCTGATATCTCCACTGCTTTCTGTTTTCACTAGACATCTTCGGTAACGTACCAAAAGTTCAGCCTGATCTGCATATTGTAAACTGATCTAGTCTACGGTATCTTTCTGAAGACGGGTGGGGAAGCTATCCCGCATGGCTCGCGGACAGCCCGGTATTCCACGGAATCTACGCTAGCGCACGCCACTTTTATCTTCTGTTCCAACAGCACACCGCCGACATGTACCGTCAACAAGATTCTTCCTTTGTGTTTGGCGCAAACGGCTCCTTCAGCTTTTTGAAGCACTTGGGGCCCTCGGTCGCAGTTTTGGGTGTGGACACACGAAGTGAACGGTCGTTGACTCAGATTGCGTCTCCTGAAAGCTGGAGAATGGTGTTTGATAATCTATACAAGCGGACAAGGCCCGGGGTGAAGCACTTGATCGTAATGCTAGCCATTCCTGTCGTGTGGCCGCGGCTGACTGCCGCGGATTCGGCCATGGAGGGATTGAGTGGCTTTTTGGAGTTTGCAAGCACAAAACTGTCCGCGTTCAGCATGATCCCAGTTCCCACACCTATCGCTGGTATTGGTGAGGCGATTGGAAAGACTGGACTGTACAAGAGCATTATGGGCTGCGTGAGTTGCGCTTTTAGGAATATTTCATGTTACGTTGGCTCATGATTCATTCTGCCATGACCAGTTTGGAGAACCGGAACTCGCCGATGATCTCTGCGATCATTGGACGCATAAAAACCACGAAGCCGAACGTTTGAGCATGGTGACTCAATTCCAGAGCTTTGCCCAGCAGCGCGGTATCCGCGTTACCTTTTTGAGTGGGGATGTGCATTGCACTGGTGTTGGGTGGTTCAGAAGCAAGCAGCCGCAAGCGGATGTTACTCGCGACCACAGAGTTATGTGGCAAATTGTTTCCAGTGCCATCAGTAAGTTCTTTTTAACGTTAAAGTGTCTTGGTATTTTCCGGCAACTCATCTGAATATGCCGTTATCAGTTAATGTCCCGCCCCCGGGTATGGTTATTGGCATGCTTCACAGCAAGGCCGTCCCCTACGATCTCGATAACAACACTGTCGACGAACTTGTTTCCACCTTTTCCGAAGATGTTGACGGAAAATCACTCGACAACTCCTCTAACAAAGTCCTTGGAAGACGCAACTGGTGCAGTGTCGAAGTGGATGGACGTGATCTGGCATGGAACATTTATGTGGAAAGAGTTGATCGCCAAGCTGACGCCAAGGCATACCCAGTTCGGGTTGCTGGATTAGTCCTGTGAAGGGGGTTATTGATTTGCATGCTCACACAGCGGAGTGCTCGCCAGTTTTTTGTTGGTTTTCAAGGTGTATGATTTTAGATGAACCATTTTTTTTTTCATCGTTTCATAGTTCTTAGAGTTGATTTAGAAATCATGGACAAGGATGTTTTTTGTACTCTTCAGTAGCTTCAAAACCGCATTAAAACGTACTGATCAGCAACCGAACCTATGCCTACCGGTTTCGTAGCGCGTCTGATATCTCAGTAACGTTTGCAATAGTAATAAAGATTTCGATGTCGTGGCAAATAAATTGTATGCCCTACATGGGCCTCCCTCATATTTAGATTAGCCATGACGGAAGCATGGTAGTTTTGATCAAGGGCTGACGGGATTGTATAATAGTATCGGAGATTTTCCAGAGTCAATTTATGGCCTTCTAATCAGGAACAGAGGTGATCTGTTGGGTTGCTGAACTGTGATAGACTTTTATATTCGGGCTTTCCTTTTGCCTGTTTCCTGCAGACAAGTAGATCTAGAATTATAGACCAGCGTACAGCACTGCAACGACGCCCGTGACACTTCCAACAACATGCTCGCTTCGCCAGGACCCAGGCCATTAAAGCACGGATGGGTTCTTAAAAAAGGGAAAACGGGATTTATTACCCATTGGCGACTAAAGTACCTCGTTCTACTTGCCTCAGACGAGAATGATGCCCGGTTACAGATTTTTGACCAGGTGGATCAGTCTCGGCCGCCCAAGCATGAAATATGGCTAAGGGATGCAAGTGTGGCCGTCTGGGACGGGAGTGGTGCAAAAAAGGGATCTGCGCCTTTTGTCGTGGTAGATCGGAAACGAAAGGTGGGGTTCTGTATCGGTCTTTCATTGACTGCGCTGTCACTCAAAATGAAAATTGGTCCAATATGATTAGTTTTACTTTGCAGCCCAAACCAAAGGAGAACGTGATGACTGGCTCGCCATCCTTCAACCTAGTATGGATGCACCCCTTCCGACAGCTAAACCAACTCATCACCGCCGAGCCACGATCACCAGCCGTACATTCAGTCCAACATCCTCTCCCCCGCTACGCCGATCAAACTCCGCACACCGGTACCGAACCTGGAGTCGAAGGGGAGATGACGATACTATGTCTACCTGGTCAGGAATGGACAGGGACTCGGATGCTGTATCGGTTTATTCGGTAATGACATCAAAAGGGGATGAGCGGTGCAGTAGTGTTGCGAGTTCGCGGGTGGAAACACTGGTAAAAAGTCCCAATCTGATGGGTTACCTGATGTTATGCTGAATACTAACCATTTTGCCTATGGATAGTCATTCTGCTCTGAACCAGTTCTGACTCCGCAAGAATTGACCTTAATGGGAAACAGCAGTAACGGGACTGGAAGCTACAGGTAGGCAGCATGGAAAAAATGGTTCCAAGAAAACTTTGTCTCATTGCACATCTAATAGACACGAAGACGGGTTCACTTTTCGGGATACTCTACGTCGTCGCCGTGGTAAGTTATCAAAAACGTTTGCTGGTAAAGCGAGTAATTAAAGCTCTCTCCTCCTCTCAGCCCCCGTGGTACATCCAGATCCGTTCCGTACTAGTCAAGGAGGTGGCTCCGGGGGTATGAACTGCAGAGAGGTTGTCTGGCAGGTTTATGGGAAACTGATGAACACATTGCTCTCCAGAACCATGGAATGAACGTTACCAAACTCTGCTCTCGATTCGTCCTGATAGTGAGGAAGCCGCTCTGCGACAAGGTAGAGAACAAAATTGCAAAGTAGAAGCCGCACATCATCCACTGAACTTGAACATTCCTCTCCCAAGACGTCCAACTTCAGGAGCTAATTGGACAATTCCAAGAGACTGCTCAGCAAATGGCCCAAAGGATGATCGACGAGTACCATCTTACCTCAACCCCTGCCATAAAACAACGGACTCAAACACCCAGTCTGAACGGTCGGCCCATGTCTCCTAGTCTTACTGAAATCAATTATGATGGGGAGGACGGACATCAAGTCAAAGGAAGTGATGGTACCGTCGTCCAGGATGGTATCGTGTTTCGCTTTGCATGTAACTACGATGGTATGCTCTTTCGGAAAGGTTGAAGCGCGATTATCAATGACCACCCGCTCATATCAGTTCTTTGCAGATGCAACTCCATCCCAAGTGGAAGATGCTCTATCGCGGACATCTAACGAGCTCCGTGCCATAAACGCATCCACACGAGCATCTTTCATGAACAGCGCTAGTCCCAGTCATTTGCACACGGTATTGATGGTTCTTATTGATTATAAAGGATTTAGAGTTGTTGCATATGCAGATATGGGATTGCAGGGGCAGGTATGTTTTTCGTCTCATAATGGGTGCTTTTCGGTGCGCACGCTCATGTCTTTTTGTCCAGGCATTGCAGGTCCATGATTTGCAACGGGACCCACCTCGGACAGATGAAAGGGCTTCGGAGCGATTGATGGCAGTTGGGAAGGCATTAAACTTGAAACCCCACACTGTGCAAATTGGAGAGGAGAGGAGAGTGATGGTGCATATGGCCGCTGGGGTTGAGGTAAGGGGCAGTCCCTTGAATTGTTGTTTATAGCTGCAAGGAAAAAACATAACTCTCTAAAATTCAAAAAAAGGTTCACTTTGACCCTCCGTCAAAACTCTTTTATGCCTCGAACCTTCACGCCCTGCTTCCCATGGACCACTCACCTCATAACAAAATCGACCCAGGCCCTCATCGCCGCCTCCGTCCCGAATTCCTTGCCAACTACCCACATCCTCTTACTTCCGATGCTTTTACCAAGCAATCGGGCGGCCCTCGGCATGAACGAGAAGCAAACGATGCTGAAGTCATGCGGGCTTCAAAGTATTTGCAGGAGATCTGGATCCCTTCTTTTGTGTCTAGATTGGATTCGTTGGAGGTTCGGCCAGTGGATTCAAGGGGATTAGTGGGCGAAATGCATTGCTCTGGAGTTAATGTTCGGTATTTGGGTACGTTCAAGTTTCTAATGTCAAAATCACGCGCGAAAGAATTAAGCAACCATTGGATACAGGCCATATCTCTCGCCTTTCTACCCTCCCGTATATTCGCGATATGGCCCATACCGAAATGGTTGCACGAGCCTTCAAATCCTTGTTCCGCACAAGACTACGGACCGCAATATTGCATTTCAGATCTGTAGGTGCTACAGTTATTGATGAGGAGATGAGGACGTATGCGGTTGGAATGTTTGGAGTCGCCTTGGGATCCGGTGAGAAGAGGAAAAAGGTGGGCATTACTTTTGTGCGCTTGCTCTGAGAATATCTGGATTTACCCTGAACTTGATTGCTAGTTTTTTGAGGACAAGCTCCGAGATGAGATTGTACGGAAATACGGCTTTGATATGAGTTACGGGCAGTTTGCAGGTTTGCCTAAGCCAGCCTTATTTTTGGCCATGCAGTATCACGTAAGTATACCAATAGCTGCTCACGAGGGAGCTCAGATTATTACCAAGAGTAAAGGCTAAAATCCAGTGTTTCACATTTCTCAGTGCGGTCTCGCTTTTGAGGATTCCACCGACTACAATTTCGATTCACCGAATCCTATTCCCCGCAACCGCCTTCTCCATTTTCAACCAAAAGTTAAACAACCCGCTGGCCTAGCCCATCTCCTTTCACCCAGCCAAAAGGTTCCGGAAGACGAAAGGCTGGCCTATCATCTAGCGCGACACATCAAATCACTCGGCCCAAGTTCAAAACTCGCCCGTCTCGATACCAGCAGCGCCGCATTGTGCACCGTTGCGGCGCACTACAATGCCACAGGTCGCTATGAGGAAGCGCGACTATACGCCCAAGCCGCTGTATCAGCATCCACTGGTAACTCGTGCCTAGCCGGATTAGCCATGGGACAGCTCATTGAGGCTGTCTGTGGGACCATATTTGATGAGACGCAGATGACTTCACTGTATCAACAGGCTGTAGAGATTGTTACCTGGGCATGTGGAATTGATCATCCGGTATTGATGGCGTTGCATGATAGGGTTGCTGGAGTATATGCGGGGAATGAGAGGTGGGAAGATGCATTGGAATATTACGGGAGAAGTCTAGGCATTGCAGAAAAAGCTCTGGGGAAGAATCATCTTGTTACGGCTGGGTACTTGGTCAAGGTGGGTCAATTCAAGGAAGGATCATTCGCACGCACTGGAGATTACGCATGTATGCTAATATTTTGAAATGCTATAGATTGGTATCATTCATCACACTATCCAAAATCCGGTGATCGCCATCCAACGCTTTACCGAGGCCCTACACCTTTATCAGGGACTGAATGCCCCATTGCCATTGCTGGCCCACCTTCACCACCACTTTGCACAACCCCTAGCAGAGCGGGGCGATTTAGATACTGCCATCATGCACGCGCAAAGGGCGCGTAAGATGTACGAAAAATGCTTGGGGCAGGCAGACCCCCGAACCGTAGAGACTTATCGGCAGGTCGCAAAGCTTGTTTTAACTCCGTATGCAGAATACGAGGGTGTTCTGACACCTGTTATTCGAGCGGCTTATAAAGAGGCGATTGGTTGTTATGAAAAGATTTTTAGATACGTAAAGGGATCTCGTAGTGGGAAGGAATCCGCCTCATTGTTGTTGCCTCTCGGCACACATTCGAGCAATTCCGCCAAGCACCCACCATCACCCCCTCTTCTTGGCACTACGTCCCATCCAACACCTATAACCGGCCCACTCATCCAACCTCATCAAATCCCACTCCCGACACATCCCCGCAGCCTGCTTCACAAACTTACGCGCCAAATTATTTCACTAAAACTGCGTCTTGTGGATTCCCCTCAACATCGGGAAGTCGTCCGTACCCTGCGCGCCGCAAATGTGGACAAGAACCTCGAGGCACAAGAGGCCAGAGCGGTTGTATTGAGGCTGGCAGCCGTTAGTCCGAGTGTTTACCTGGACGGAGTGCTGGCCAGAATTGAAGAAGAAGATGCGAGTGCTGTTGAAGAGCTGGGTGTTGTGCTGATGCTGACGGAAGGGGAAGTCGTTGGGTTAGCGGGGTGATGAAGATAATTTGTTGGAAGGAAGCGGCGGAAGTAACCTGGGCCTCAGCAGGATTGAGACCAAACGGGACAGAAAGTCAACTTTTTGAAGAAATATAGAGCGAAAATTGATGGGAATTCTTAATGAATATTAGATGTAAAGCGGATAGGAAAGTAGAAAGCTTGTAAAACGGGGTTAATTGCCCATAGCGATAATTACATAAAATCACTACTCAACCTTGAACAGACATCCCAACATTAAAGACAAAACTAAAGGAATTGCTGGAAAAAGTCGTGTGTATCAGTTGTCTAGAATTACTATGTACAAGTTCTTCAAAACGACTAGTTTGAATCTAAATCCATACGTCGCCAGCACATCCATTTTCACCAGCAAATAATCCAGCTCTAACAGCCAAAAACGGCGCAACAGAGCTAACCATAACCAGCAAAATAATTGAAAACGCAATACCGGCTCTCAGTCTTGGTACGCCCATCCTAACACAGTCTCCATACGCAACTCCTTTCACAAGGCGTTCTTCCAGGATGCAGCACCCGAGGTGAACTAGCACACAAACGAGTAGCGACACACCGCTCCTCCAGAAAATTTCTATTTTTGTAAACATACTTATACCGCCCCGTTTAAGATCACAGACTGCGTCTGTGGATATATTTGGTTGGTAAGGGTGCGAGCTAACAGTGGAGAAACAGATTGTGGCAACTAGAGCTGATAAACGAGCGAGAGCATCAGCAACCATACGGGAAATGCGCTCGCGCGCCCACCATATGTTGGCCGTACTGAGTTGGCTCTGGAGGATAACGGGGGATGCTGGAACTGACTGCTGTGACTGAACCGAATGTCTCGATTTTCGAGATTGGGATTTACTTGCTCTCTGGGGGGATGCATCTACACTCCGTTTGTCCTCTTCTTCCATATTCGTACTCAGAACTTTTTGCACATGTTCGCTTTCCTCCTCGACAATCCGCTCTTTCACAGCATGCTCTCCGCTCGCCGACCATAGTCCTGCTATCCATCTCCTACGCCTCTCTGCCTCTAAAGTCCTCCAAATCATTTCCAATCCACCATCTGCAATGGTTGCAAGAAAGAAACTGATCTTTGACGGTCCGCGGAGCATGTTCATCAGACCCACAACACTGTAATGGGCATCATACCCAAGGTGACGGAGATACATCATGTTTTCCGGGGCTTGGTCAAGATATGTTCCTAACGCAGGTGTAAAGGCCACATAGCCGTGTAAAAGGATGTGTCTAACAATGGGGTAAATCAGTCCGTTGAAAATCACATTAAGGGCTTGGGAGCCAATGCTGCTTGTCGCAGATCCTGCAAGGTACGTTGCTCCACAAAAGAGGAGCCTGTTTTTTGACCATCTTTCGCGATCAGTCTAACTAGGTCATCAAGAGTAGCCACAAATGAAACCCACCAAGAAGCGGCTGCAAAAAAGGTATAGCTAACACACTCTAAGAGCGCTCTCGGAATTCGTACGCGCATCGGGAGGTTTCTCAGATGGGCGTTGAACGCGATAAAGTAACCGGCGCAGATTGTCCCCACTGGGAACATGATCAACGAAACCGCCACAGGAACATTCGTGACATAAGTCCCAAATCCCCAAAAAATGAGCAACTCTCCGCTGAAAAATACTACAGTAGTGATGATGCGTACTCTCCAAGGACTTGGTTGCCCAAGGAGAGCTAATCCTGTCAAAAGAGTCGGGCTGAGGTTTCTAAATGGTATTGTGAGCTTTTCCCAATACGTCAGATAATCAGCAATCGTGTCCGAACCTCACCTTGGTAGCCACCAAGCCCACCCAGCCCAAAGAAGCTGCGCCCTTCTGCGCTGTTGCTCTTCCGACCGATCAAAATGGTACACTTTCCCAATCCAGGCACAAACAATGACAATTGTAATAGGGATGCTCAATAAAATTGCACTCAAGCCTACTTTCGCAAGACATAGACCGATACCAGATATTGAAGGTCCCCAGGGAACAAATGACGGCGGCCCGGTTGTAGTAGTCATGGTGGTACCCCCTCCAGCAGATGTCGATCCACGAAGTATCGTTCCCAGGGCTGTCTCATTTGAGAAGGGATTTAATTTCAGTTTCTTCTTCAAAAGGGATCGAGTTAAACTGGAACAGTTTTCCGGTCGTGTCAGAGTTGGTATAGAGGACCCCTCAGTCGGGAACTTTGCAATAGCGAGTTGACTAGTCTTTATGGTGGCCACCCCTTCTTCAAGCTTTGTAGCGGGTGCGTCATTTTGTGCACAGGGTAGCATAGACAGCGAACGTTCTGCTGGTAAGTATAACGTTCACAGCTGGGAGAACTATCAAAGTTAAGCAAGGCTACCTCAAAAGCAGAAGACACGAAGGGTCCTCTTATAATGTTGTTATTTGTATTTGGGCGTGATGCCAACAAAAGTTTAGCTTTTTGCAAACAATAACCTGGAAATATGATATTTACCCATGGAGGAAGTTCACCAGCTCGATGGGGCGTGTTTATTGAGTATTCAAGTATTCATATCTCTATTTAAGGTCGGCATACCCTCCTGGATCCTCAAAACCCCGACGGAGAGACGATCGGATTACGAGATCCTCGGCTCACGTGCGTGACCATGCCTACAGTGGCACAGTTCCAAAGTCTAAGATGCACTACGAATGTGACAGCTCCGCACGCTCTTCCTTCACAACTTAAACGTAGATCAGGCCGAATGAAACAACGATAAAGACTTGCGGAAAGCAAAAAGTTCACAAATTATTGACTCCAGGCTATAATGCGGGTGGACGCCGTTACCAAACGGCAATTTGCATTTGCGGTCCTGGTTGGGATCTGGGGCCTCAAGATTCACCATGTCATCTTGCACCTCAAGGGGACGCAAATTCTTAGTCATGTGCACCTGGGAACATGGTGTCTCTTGGACACTCTGTACTTCTTTGGCCTCTGGTTGCTGAGAATCGAATGGCTGGACTTTCGTTTTATCGTTTGCGCGGCGTTGACCTTTGCATCTTGCATGATTGATATGGGACTCGCGGGCCTAGTTGTAAGTACTGTGATAGAAGCGGGAGGAACTGGAACAAAAATGATAGTATAGGGAAGATTGGGTACTTTTCTTAGTGATCATAATAACATTTTGGCACACTCTGGGTTTTAGACTGAACGAACCGCTCAAGATACCTTCACTGGGCGATATAGACAACCTGGTGTCGTGGATCATCCACACATTCGAGCAGGTATTCAAATGCCGACTTGATGTATTGAAAATTTAGCGTGTGAACGCTAACGTACTTCACTGGAACAGACATCTTCAATGAGTCGCATCTATTGGGATCTCATGTCGTGCACGTCCTTCCCCCTACCTTCGCAAAGATTAATCCCAATGCATCAGCATTTTGCTTGGGGTTCACTGAAAAATCTGCCGATATCCCGGTAAAAATAAAAGGAACCCCACCATGGAAGATTTCCTATGAGTACTACGGTTTCGACGGGAGTTACCGGCTCTTTGACAACATTACCGTTGAAGGTTCAGGTCCTGTCCCAGCTACCGTCAGTAAGAAGGAAACCAGGATTGGAGTATATACGATTCCTGCTGATAAGCCAGGAATCTATCGTCTCGTGTCTGTAAGGGAAAAGCGACATAAGCTGGAGGATGAGGGCAAAGTGCTGCAACCGGACATGGTTGAGGTGGTACAGTGTCCTCAGGCTCGGCTGGTTGTACCACCAAAGGACAGCGGGAAGGAGGCAGTGGACAGATGTGTCGATCAAACATATTCGCTCAACATTCTCCTGTCTGGTACTCCTCCGTTCACTGCTTGGTACCTTCGGAAAATCGGGCCGACACCTTCGCTAGTTATGATTGAGAGTGGAGAACAAGATGGAAAACAAGAAGGGAAGATAAAATCGTCGCGCACTATACCCCACGATGTGCTGAAACGATTGCTAGCTGCTCGGACACGCGACATATCGTTGCCTGTTGAAGTCAAGGTAGAAGAAGCAACGGAGTACTTGCACAAAATTGTAGAGGTCACAGACGGGCGTAACAATAGTGTCATTTTTCCGCCAACAAGTGAACGTGACGTGCCCGTAACTGGTCATGTCGTGAAGGCAGATCGCTCTGGGGACTCTTTCCTTTTAAGGGGCCATTCACTGCCGTCGGCCCGCTTCGATCGGTGCGAGTCCGTCAGAATACGGAGCGGATTCGAACACGAAGGTGCTACCATAAATATTCTATTGACGGGAGTCGGGCCTTGGCAACTTCGATACGCTAGATCTGCATCGGAGGAGAACGCAGTTGCTGGCAAATTCGAGAGCGAGAAGACAGTTAAAGATATCCAGAATCCCCAGTTCAACCTTGTCGTTCACGAGCCTGGCGTCTATGTCTTGCTCTCCGTTTCTGACAAATACTGTTCTGGTGTCACTGAGCTTCCCGCTACATGCATTGTTCAAAAAACACTACCGCCTCAGATTTCCATCTCGGCTCAGCCAATTATGCAAGAATGTTTCGGGGCGACTGGCATGGATGTGAATTTCTCCATGACGGGCGAGCCGCCATTCTGGGTGGAGCTTCAAGTAGTCAATAAGGTTACTGGAAAGCGTGCAGTGGAACGGAAAGACTTTTCTAAAGCACTGCACACATTAAGAATGCAGCCACAGGAACCTGGTGAATATGAATATGTTTTTTTGAAGGTGAGTCTCCAGGGATCTTTGCATGCATAATTTGCATTGTGGGTTCACATGTCATGTTATCGGTAGATTGGTGACGCGGTCTACACAATGGGAGTTCCCGTGGAGGGCATAAGCTTTAAGCAGGTCATTCACACGCCGTCGAGAGTGTCCGTCGTCTCGGCAGACGGTAAACGGTGTATTGGAGATTCTGCTAAGGTTGAAGTGAGCCTAGCGGGAGAGCCCCCATGGTCGCTGTCGTACGAAATTACGAGGGGAACAACCAAGACGCAATACACGAAGTCGAATATCACTCAAGACAGAATCGTTATTGAGACACCGACGTTGGATAGCCCTGGGACATATGTTGTGGACCTGACAGGTACGCTCGCCGTGGGTCAATGTGTGTAGGGGTATCGTCATCCTTATTTTCTTTTTCAAACAGAAATTAGGGACGGAAATGGTTGTGTAGCACCGGTGCCGACCGACCCAATAGCAATCGAGGTACTATCGCAGCGACCTAGCGCTCACTTCCATTGCCCGAAGCCTATTCATTTCCTGGAAAACGACCGAGCAAAGATTCCTGTCGTAGTATCAGGACAGTAAGTTACGACTAAATCTGTTGGGTGATATACACGTCCACATGTTAACCTAATTCACTCTGCAGTGGAAAGTACATGCTAAAGTATAAGAGGGCTGCCCCTCCTGGCGCTGAATATACCATTACTGGGGACAGAACTATTGAAGGCGTCACTGTGAGTAAAAGTTGCCCTCTCGAATGGTGCCATCAGGGTTGACTAAACCCTTTCAAAGATCTCGGAGCCAGGAATATATGAGTTGACAGCATTTAATGACGCCTATTGTTCGGGAAGAGTTGTAGAACCAACTAAATGCCAAGGTGGGCTTGAGCGTACTAAGTTTCAAAAAGTCGGGAAGCTCATTTGATATCTCCTTTTCTAGCCTTCACGATCCCAAAACCGAAGCTGGAGATACCTCCAACTGAATATGAAATTGCTGCAGATCATACTCTTCAGCGTAAAGCCGTTTGCGAGAACTCACCTGACAGGCTGGAATTGCACTTGAACGGGACACCTCCTTTTACGATATTCTACACACATGAGTGGCAGTCTCCGAGCAAGGAACGCACCGAGTCGAAAAAGACAGCAATCAGCGAATACGAAAACCGTGTCGCACAGCAGTTTGCGAGGATCAGCTTGGTCACGGACAAACCGGGACGTCATATCTACAAGTTCACTGGAATTGCGGATGGTAATTACCAAACGCGGATTCCTCTTCACCACCAAAACGTTTTGCAACAGGTCCACGAGAGACCAAAGGCAGTGTTTTTGGATGAGGCTCAACGGACGTTCCAATGCATAGCGACCGAAACTGATACTGAACTGCGAATTCAACTGACTGGAAGTCCTCCTTTCAACCTTCAAGTCTACCGCAAGCATCCGTCATCGTCGGACCCCGAGATTCTCAATTTACAAGTCAATACGACATTGTTCACCTACCGTCCTGAGAAGCCAACCATCATAGGACGGTATGTTTATACCATCAAATCCATCTCTGATCGAACCGGATGCGAATCGGTATATGAAGGCACGGAACCCGGAGCCCAAGTCACAGTTCAAGTAACGGATATGGCCCGAATTACAATGGAGCACGAACAAAAGGTGACATGCGTCGGTGACATGCTGTCGTACACACTGGAAGGAACGGCCCCTTTTACCATTGGATATCAATGGAATGGTGTGTCCAAACCAGATATTACAGTCAATGACCCTGTGTTGATGCTGCTTGCCGCTGAATCCGGTTTTGTGAATGTGACACGGGTTTGTAATGCCATGAAGTGCTGTTATCAACCTCCTGGAGGGCTTGTCAAGGAAGTAAATCCCTTGCCAAGAGCGATTGTGGATGGGGGAATTGATATCATTGATGACATTCGAGAAGGTGTGACTCTCATTATTGCTTGAATGGATGCGAATGATTTGGTGACTCACGTTATTCGATGCTTCCTAGGTGATGAGTCGGTGATAGGAGTAGAGTTTGAAGGAACTGCTCCTTTCAGTTTCCGATATACCCGCACACCGTTGCTAGATCCTGAGGTTCAGCGACGAGACCCCGACGAGTCATTTACGATTGAGAATATATTTAGCAATAAGGTGAGAAGATACGTGGTAGACTTCATGTCGGACCGGATTTCTAATTAGCAACGATTCTTGTCTTCCCAGTACCTACTCACTACGGATAAAGAAGGCCTTTTCCGCGTTACTTGGGTGAAAGACCGGTTCTGTGAGTTCCCTCCGAAAAAATGGGCCGATCCAAAAGCTGCAAATGTACTTTTGAGAGGGAGCAAGAAGCGAGATTAGGCGATGTATATTCGTAGACATTGTACTTTGGTGGGCGGTTGTTTATGGTTTGCATATAATTTTGACCATTGCTTTGGTGGTGCATGTTGAGATGGGTATTATATATAGGACGATGTGAGATATTTATGACCATAAAGCATGGTATTCATGTGGGCTAGCGAAAGGATGGCACGCCGTGAAATATGGCGCATGCAAACTTTTACTCTTTGATATAAATTGCTCTACTCCTTTCGTTCCAGGAGGCCTTATGCGAACAGCGGAGGGAGCTGTTCCATACAATGCGCGGACAAAGCCAAGTTTCAACGATTTGTGACTATTCATCTATGCGCTGCATATCCGATCTTAACTTGCAAAGACCACCGAGCACCGAATCTTGGCGCTCTTGCTTTGCTCAAACCAGCTGCGAGTTCACTGGACACTGAAGAATATTTCCGTCGGCAGGACACCTAGACACTATCCAATACATCGATGTACTGATACTATCGATGGAGTCTGTAGGTGACCATACAAGTGGTCGAACCAAGCCCGCCCCAGAACCATGCTCCCCAACACCAAGCCTCCCAAAGCCAAGGCACAACTTGTAATGGCTGTGGAAAAGCCGTGTCATTTGGAAAGTCAAGGAGCTACGATTGTGCTAGAAAGGGTGTGCGAAGAGCATCCTTCTCGTTTTTTTGGGACTGCTGTGGAGCAGTTCCTTCTTGTAAAAAGTACATTGGGGTGATTGTGACCAGGAATGAACCAACGCAGGGTTCCTTTTTTTCAAAGAGACACTCGTCCCTGCTCGTAGAACCCTTTGAATTTCATCGCCCTTCTCGCCATTGTCATCTCACAAGTTTCCTGAGGCTTTTACTTTTCCAAGGTTCCAATTGTCGAAAAGAAGGGTAACTTTCTCCCGTTCATCGGGATAATCCTTTCAAAGCCAATTGCTATTTTAGAGTCGATCTGGTTAACAAAAGAATACAGGGACCAATATATATGCGATGGGTAACGTGCTTTTGGACTGCTGACGGTTGATGATGTAGCGACGCAACGAACAGCAAATGGCTTTTTGTCGCTCCCGACTTTTCTGTTTTTTATATCATGTCCCGGGTCGTCCGCCTTTGCCGCAGTCTCCGATATGCATCATAATGATGGGATGGGGGGTTGCCGTCATGAAATTCCTTCTTTCTTGGCAGTTTTTTCTGTCAATAATATTCTGGAAAGAACATGTCAAATGATAGGAACCCTAAAACAAAACACAGTTAGTCATGATGGATGGCATGCATCGTTGAGCGGCATTTATAAGATCATTGCATTGGGGGAGTTACGAAAAAAAAGGGGGAATAAGGAACAGTTTAAACAAAGAAAAAGCCTTTTCGTCTCGTCATCCTCCCTCGTTTTTCAGCCGTCGGGGCCGGGGGGGTTCCAGACTCCCGTCGGGCATCATTTTGTCCTGAGCATCTCACGAGTTTCCTCTCGTCGCTCTGACCTATTCTCTCCCCTTCGATCCCTGCTGACTTCCTTATCGTATCCAGAGTCGTATGCAGGTAACGTATGCATATACTCGTCGAACCTTCCGCACAATTTCATCTCAACTGTCAAGTGATCCCTTCCTATATATAGTTTATCTCTCTCTTTGGGTCAACTCAAATGAGTTGGTGCGTCGGGTCTTTAAAAAACTGGCTTTCATGTGCCGACCTAGATTTCGCAGTCTGTGCTGTTTGAACCAAGATACTCCTGCTACAGGATCTCTTTGCGGCACTCTCCTGCCGGACCTCCAAGACCTGCCACATGCTACGTCTCAGCACTTCAACAAAAGTCATCAGCGGACATACGCAACAGTCACCAACTGAGCTCATTCCATCGCTGCAAAAGCCGTTGCTCAACGTCATGCCCGGTATCTCCTCCGCGGTCGTATATGACAACATTGCACCTGTCAACCCAGCAATGGACGGGATCATGTGCAGCGCAGGTCATCCGAACGATTTCTATGAATTGGAAGATGGTGGAAATGACTTTCAAGTTTTCTGGGTGGCTGGTAATAATGGAAAGATGGACGGCCAGAACATGATCGGTTTTGCAGATGGTTCTGCTGTGGGGTATGAATATGAGTATCCACGTCCAACAGACTCAGTGTTGCAGGATGGCATGGATGAAACAAACAGCACGATGAATCTTGCACCGAAAATCGGCCTCGATAATGTGCATGATGGCGAGAGTCAGATATATCATCTGCCACCTGATTCCTCTCCGTGGACCTCAGTACCTCAACATTCTGCGACGCATGATGGATGCAGCAACACTCCCGCACCCTCCACACCGACGTTATTTTCGCCCCTTTCCGATCTCCAGTTCCCTTTCGCTGCCGTCCAGCACTTTTCACTCTCACCATCGCTGGATCCCACCATCTCCATTATCAAGCACTCAAATACGCCTCATCATGGGGCTAGCCCCACCAATACTTCCCTGGCGCTCCGAAGAAGCACCCGCCGACGCAAACCTCCAAGCCAATCGTCATCCAACTCTCCGCGCTTCAGATGTCCTATTTTATCTTGCTCCAAAACTTTCTCCCGCCGTTTTAACTTAACCGCCCACCTCCGCACTCATGATCCGCAACGACCACGTCCCTTCAATTGTGATCAATGCCCTAGCACATTTGTCCGCGCTCACGATTTGCTACGACATGCCAGCGTTCACAGCAACAACAAACCTTATTCTTGCCCTATATGTGAGACAAGGTTCACAAGAATGGATGCACTTAGGCGTCACGAAAAGATGGCAAAGTGTGCCTCGGGAACGAAGCGAAAAGATAGCGCGGTGGGATTATGTGAGGAATTCGAGGTGAAAGAAGAGGAGGATTTCCCTACCTGAATTATCAAGGATTGGTTCTTACTACACGAAAATCTCGATCGAGTCAAGTTGAACGTCAAGGATCTTGTGCAAGGCTCTTGTATTGTCAGCAAGTGTCTCAAATGTCTATGCGCTTTCAAAATCGTTCAAGTTGTTGGTCAAGTGGATTGTAAAGTACTTTGATCAAAATAGCATGAGATAGTCGTCCGAATGTGATTTTTCGAGTCATGCAGCTACTGACTACCAGTATGCAAGAGGCATTAAGCCAGCGAATGGCATTTTCTATCCGATACTTCCCAGCCTCGGTTCCACAGCCAAGTTCCTTGCTTTTATTATTCACTTTTGGTATTCGAATCTAATAGATGATGTATTGCACTGACCAGATCTGTTACTGTATTGGGTCCTTCCAAGGGAGAAGATCCCCTAACTTTTGTTCTTTAATGACACCATCGGCTTTAGCAAAAGTTATTCTTTCATAGATCGAAGATTTCTACATACGATACTTAAATACTAATGCCCCCCAACTAGCTCTATGAATCATTGCTTCGGTCCTAGAAAACAAAGTAGGGCCACAGTTCTATTACATTATTCTAATGTATTCAAGCGTACGCCTTCTCTAAACAGGTCGTGGATCCCCAGCACTTCAACTAATGAGCTCTCTAGTTCCTCAGAAGGAAAGGACTGGCCGACTGATAACCCTATCAGCAAAAATTACACTTGGAGCAGTGGTGCCTTGACATGAGCCTCGGGTTTCCAGATATGATGAATGAAGCAGGGGATACAATACCATGAGCAATTTCCTAGTACAATCGTTCCTTCAATATCAGATGAAGAATACAGTGAAAATGGATAGGCAACAACAACAACAAGTAAAATTCAAACACTCAACATTGCTGGATTCCAATTGCAGGTCAGGGTTTGGATGCGTCTTCGTAGGTAGGACAAGGCTTGGAGGTCAAACTGCCACAAAACAGCTCACCATCTGTCGAAACAAGTCACGGCTGACCTCTTACACTAATATCAACTTGTCTAAAGCACTGGTAGCCAGACATTAAGAACTCTGTCGAGTCATGCCAACGAGAGTGTACCACTTCCATCATACAGATATCAAAATAATTCGTCATCTTACAAACTGATCACAGTATTCCACAACGGATTCCTTTAGTACGCAGGGTACGTACGGTTGTAGTTGGCTATTCGCTATTTGGCTGGAACATTTGGGAAGTCACGGACTAATCAGCCTTTCGTGCTCACGGACTAATCAGCCTTTCGTGCATCGTCTCAATATCACTGCGGACTGGTCCAACGTAGCCGACCCCTGAAAACACAATGTGCTAGATGGGAGCTTGTTGTCTCAGTCTCTGATAGACCGTGCTGTGTCCCACGTCCCAGCTACTTACCCATCCAGTCGGCTAGTGCTACGAACGACAAGGAGGCCCGAGCACTGACAACGCTCGCTTACCTCTGATTTTACGCAAGTTGCTCCGCACTACCTGCCACAAATTTGCGATGTGAACGGCCCATGATGTTCACAACCAACTCGAACGTTGTGACTTCGACAGTCCTTGGCAACTCATCATGGGGCGGATATCAGTTTACCCATTAATGCGGCCGGCAATCAAACCAAGTGATATGTGCAATCCCAAACTTTCGATATCTTAGAGCTGCCTGTGCTTTCGTTTGCCCGTCTTTATTTTATCTAAACTCTCCTAATTGTGACATCGTACAATGTGCCACGATTAATTGCTGAAAATCATCCGCTGCGGAGTCCTACGTTCGGGTGGCCGCCTACTTTTGGAATGGGTCCTTGTTCACACTCAAATCCTTTCGACCACTAGTGAACACCAATACGCTTATCCTTATCGTGCATTCACATGCAGACGTTCTTCTGATCCATATGCAGCGTGCTGGCTGGCCCTGCTGTGAAAAGACCCACAATTGGTAAATATGAGTGAGCTACACGTCAATGTCGGTCGTCCATCACGACATCCAGCGAGTACACAGAGTACGAGGGATCGCATAATAATGTCCCCCGTAGTGTGTGTTAGTCGCAGATGCGGATGGTTCATTAGTTGGCACAATGTGGGTACGGTTGGGAGTTAGAATGGTTAAGTGAAGAGGAAAGTGGAATACATCCACGCATCGAGGGGAGACGTTACACCGAAGATGCAGCTTCAAACGGCTTCGCCGACTGCTGTGCGTCAAAAGATGAGGTAATGAGAAGGTGGTAATAACGACCGTCAAACGGTAGCCTGAAGCACTGTACGTTGTGGACGAGCAGCATCAGGGAAGATGTCACAGACGAATCACACCTACACGGTGGAAAGCCAACACTCACAGAGAGAAGATCTCAGTAAATATGAGAGCAAGCTCAGGCATACTCACATACTGACGGATAGAATATATCTCCCACAACACGGTGTCGGTATGACATAAAGCACATTGCGATGCGACAGCATACATGAGCTTGACAACGACGTGTCTTGCGATTATTATATTGGCGTCGGGGAAGGTAATCGCAATAATGAACCAGTAAAAGTCAGACAAAGATCACAACAAAACAGGCCACAAGCAGAACACAAACCGTCACTCCGTCTAACCGAACCACAAACACACAGCAGCTTGATTCGCCAAATGATCAGGCCGCGGGCGTCCGGAATCCGTGTCAGATAGCCAACGGCGGAGAGACAGTTTAACTCTTGCTTGTCAAATTCCGTGTAGAGCGAATGCAGGTTCTTGAAGTCTTGCGTCGAATGAACGCAGCTGTCGTATTAGCATTACTGTTTCCTCCATGCTAGTCATCTCCGTCAGCCCCTCCCCTGAAGCGTCAGCCATCCCACACCACACCAGGGTATCTACACTACAAATGCCCCACCAGAATAATATACAATTAGGAGATCCAGTATGTGCAGAGAAAAAAACGTCCACTAGCACCGAGTATGTACAACCACGATCAACTACGCTAAGTCAACGAATTGACATCCTCTAAAAAATTGGTTGGGAAATCCGATCCAATAAACGAGGTGTTCAAATTAGTTCCACCAATTCGGTAAAAAGTTTCGCGATCACGCTCATATGATGCCTCAGGATATTCCCATTGTGACAGCGGAGGGGTAGAGTAGTCGGCAGCTTCCCAATCTTCTTCGCTTTCATCACCATCTCCGCTCTCATCTTCGTCCAGACCGAGTTCCGCGAATGCTTCATCCAGCAATTTGTCCACCTCCTGATCACTCGCGGCGGACTGATCTGCGGTAGCTGTCGATGATTTACTCTCTTCCTCTGATACTGTGTTCGATGAACGGTCATGAACTGAATGATGAGCAGGGCGGTAAGAGTCTCCACGAAACCTACGAGGACCGTTCCGCTTGTTACGTCGGCCAAGATTCGATCGAGCTTGACGCTGGAGCGAATTCGAAAGCATCGCATGAGGTCGCCCTGACTTGCCGTACTGAGATCGACGTCCGGTTTTTCTCAAATCAGCTTTTGACGCCAGGGGAATGTTAGAACCGTTCCACATCCGTGGAGCTCCATTTGCAGAAGCAGCAAATGACGGTTGATACCACATATATTGTTGCGCAAGTTGCGGCATGAAAGGGTTAAGAGGGTAGAAGAATTTTTGCTGTTGGGTGCGCATGTCTTTACGTTGAGCTGCTGGGCGGCGATTCTTTCCGAAGCGATGCCGGTCGTGTCCATCTAAATGTGTAACATGGTGACGGTCAATGTAATGTCGTGACATCAAGTTGAAAATGTCAAATTGATTCGTGTGTTTGGTGTTCCGAGGTTGCTGGTCTTTTCTCCGTTGTGTTTTGGGTCCCGCTCGGGCAAGGACAGGAGAGGTTCGAGGATCTGCGGGTACGTGTGGCGGGGGTGAGAGTACCGACATGGCTGACGTGCACAGTCTATTGACGAGTATGAATAAAAAGCGGTTCTTTCTAGCCTGGTAGCGTTCGCTTTATCTGCGTACCAACTCTGGTCGTTCTTCTTGAGTATCTCTTTTTGCTGGGAATTTCTTGGGGGAGAAAGAAGGTGTCGGGGGATTTCTTTCAAGGGGGTCTCCTTTTATACTCCCCCTGTGGGAAAACGCCCGATGACTGCGCGATTGTCAAAATTGCATGCATGTGCCTGTGAAGGGGAGCCAATGAAATGACGCGCAATGCGCCCACTTTCTACATATGGCTTAATCAAGTTATGCATTACGTAAACAGAACACCGCCTTCCAGAAAGCCAAAACAGCGTTTTGATTTCTTCAAGTAGGTCACGCACCAACGAGACCAATCGCTTATTGCGGGTTGGGGGATGCATTTCAATTGCTGTGGGGCATGACCAGCGACGGGCAGAATCAGCTGCATGATGAAGGAGATTTTAGGGGGAGGCGACTTTCAACCTGGTTCCATCAATTGGTCGTCGTTAATTTCACTGCAGAGCCCACTTGAGACTATGTTTTAACCAATTGGAACAGCATCAGTACCTACAATAGTTGATCGTTTTTCAGAATGGGTTAGAATGTGCACCCACTGACTTTTGGTCAATATTTTCATAAACCACTTGCAATTTCACCTCCGTCAATCGGCTACATATATATGTAAAATGTATTTGAATTGTTAAAGACAATTACGGTCGTTTAATGCCAATGCACACTGTTCGATCGCTCGTCTCAAAGACGGTGCCTTGTTTACATTATTTCTGCCATGTCATGTGTATGTGTAATTACATCATCATGCATTCAGTTTCACCGTCTAAAAGCTTACCTCTCTGGTCTAAAGCAACGAGAGTATCTTTGGGTGGCACAATTAAGAAGGAGCGATGCAAAGTTCCAGTTGAATTAAGTTGTGCAGAGCTGCTCTTAGCAAGGAGATGGGATTATTTGCTTCTTGTCATTTAACCCTGGTGAGCAACGGTATGTTTGCAGTCACCCTGACTGTTCTGGACGATAAGCCATGAAAGCGTTGAGCGCATTGGGGTGATCTCTGCAATAATGGTCGGAACACCTCCCTGAATTCTCCAGGAATTGTTAGAGGAATCACTGGCCCTCGTTCTACACATTGGTTGAATGAAGCTCTACACTTTCCAGTCTCGACAGATGTACACTCCCAACTGCAGCTCTGAGATGCTGGCTTAGATGGCAGTTAAAACATCCTGCGCCAACATTAGATGGCCATTCATCCTGACATAGTGGATAAGAACGTAAATGGACAGGCAGATGCTTCAAAGTGACACGCAGCTAAGCCCGCTCTGGGACGACTAAGCCTGCACCAATTGGCAGTCCACACGTCCAAACACCCCTGACTCATTGATGCAACTGCAACCTCATTTCTGTAGGTTGTCATCGAACAACCGCAACTTGTCACAGTGGATAAGCTCAACCTTCCGCTGGGTAAAGAAGAACGCGGCCCGCTCCTTCCAACAGACAGAACGGGGCTCTTGCACGACGTACACTTTCCATCGGAGCAAGGCAGTTCTAGTCATTCCCAAGAGTTTGAGTCAGTTTCCATTGAAATGGGAAAGTTGGTTCCAACAGAAGGTTTTGAGGACGGAATGGACCCTGGAACGGAGCGGAGAAGGTTTATAGCGGCAGAAACGGCAATACCGCGACAACCGCATGAAAAAAATCCTTTATGGAAGGATGCGGGCAATATCACCCTATTGATTGTTCTTTGTGAGTAGGATATTGTGAAGAAAACATACGGCATTCCCTGACTAAAGAATTTCTCACGATGTGAACATCCTTATAGACTTGCTCCAAGGCGTACCTCTAGGACTAAGTTTTGGAGCTGTGCCCTTCCTTTTAAAGTCGAAACTGAGCTTTGCCGACATTGCACTATTCTCCCTCTCATCCTATCCATACTCTCTCAAAGTATGAATTCTATTTCTCTATCCTGTTGTTGTTTCCTGCTCGATCTCAAATTTCTGATCGTTTGGCCGCAGCTGCTCTGGTCCCCGATTGTTGATTCAGTATTTTTTAAAGCGATTGGTCGACGAAAATCGTGGATCGTACCGATTCAGGCACTGACCGGGACATGTTTGGCGGTCCTTGGATCTCGTATCGATGAGATCATGAAACAGGTAGAATTGGTATTCGAGTCAATTTTACATCCTCACGTAATGCTCATCCACATCGAAATGTCCTCCTCCTAGGAGCATTTGCCCGTCACCATGTTGGCAATAGTATTCACTGCGCTCGTCTTCCTCTGTGCTACGCAAGGTATAGCTTTTCTCATTCAACATGTGCTCTGTTCTGGTAATCCATAATGAGCATTTTTGTAGATATTGCCGTGGACGGATGGGCGCTGACCCTTCTTCGAGATGAGAATAAGGTAACTACTTGTTTTTTCGGAACTTTATTGCGGCATTCTCTAACCGTGACTGTTTCAGCATTTTGCCTCAACTGGTATGTCGCCTCTGTGAAACGCCGTCACTATCTGGCGTACGAATTTGACGAGTGATTATGTCGTATGATAAAGCACAGACAATAGGATTGAACACAGGTGAGTTTTATCTCGTTGTGCCCACGAACCTTGATCGCGTTTCCTGATATCCATGTTCAAAGGATATTTTTTATCCTTTACCGTCTTTCTTGCCCTGAATTCCTCCGAGTTTTGTAACAAGTACATACGAAGCGTACCAGCCACCGAAGGTGTATTGCAATTGGGATCGTACCTTCAGTTCTGGGGAGTTATGTTCTTGCTCTGTGATGCTTGGTTAGTTTGCTTTAAGAAAGAGGTACGTCACTTGCGTCGATGGAGAAGGAACGCGCGACATTGTAGGTCTTATGGGCTGTGCTATTTCCAGGAGATTGATCATACCGAAGCGATCGACGAGATTAAAACGGTAAGGTTCTTGAAGGACGTTTTTTTCGATAACATAAACTGGAACCGTTTGTTTCAGGTCTATCAAACCATTTGGAAAGTCTGCATGATGCCCCGTGAGTGCATCGTTCAACATTTACTGGTCGCCATTTAAACATTCTTACATAACTGAATGGCAGACATGAAGAAGTTCATTGGAGTTCTGATGGTAGCCAAGATTGGCTTCATTGCAAACGAAGCGGTCACACCCCTCAAATTGCTAGACAAAGGACTGCATAAAGAAGATATGGCATTGTCGGTGCTTATTGACTTTCCCTTCCAAATTCTATTTGGTTACTATGCAGCAAAATGGAGTAGTGGTGCACAGCCACTTCGGCCGGTAGGAATCAATGTACTTTGCAAGTACTTGCTTGTACCCTAACCTTCTAGTATGCACAAGTGGCTTTACGCTTTCTATGGTCGTCTCGCATTTGCCGTTGTGGGAATGCTACTAGTTCGAGCTTTTCCATCAGGCGGAGTAACCTCCTCGTACTTCTTTATTGTGATATCGGCAACTGTGTTAAACTCCTTTACAAGGTAAATCGCCTTTCTGGATACTCCCCGTTTCTAAAGGCAAGGCACTTATCCGTTCATGCAGCACGGTTCAGTTTGTGGGAATGGGAAGCTTCTTCACAAAAATCAGTGACCCGCTGATAGGTATAGTTTATAGTTTACTTGTTCGAGTCCCAAGCTGGATGCATATCACTAACTGATCATCGACACTTAGGTGGTACTTACATGACTTTGGTACGGTCTTTGCTTATACCCATGGATATGGTACTTTATTGCAGGCTTACATCTGATTTCTTCATCGTCTAGCTCAATACCTTAAGTAATCTGGGAGGGACCTGGCCGCGCTTCTTTGTCCTCGAGGTAAATGAACGGCTACCCCTGTGTATGCTATATGGAACGATGACACTTTAACTCTGGCATTTCTTGCGCAGGCAGTAGATCACTATACAGATGCTCACTGCACCGTTACGGAACCGGAATCTTCAGTCTATCCAGTCTGTCTAACTGACACGCAAAAGGCTCACTGCAAATCCCTGGGAGGAGAGTGCATCGTCCGCCGCGATGGATATTATATCGTTGGCATCACGTCCGTTATAATAGGCTTGCTGACGTTACTCCTATATGTGAAGCCACAAATCGAGAGGTTACACAGATTACCAGACAGAGCATGGCGCTTGAGGAAGGAAAAGAGCGAAGATGACGGAGTAAATGGGACAGGCGGCAGAAGCGAGGAAACGGAAAAGCTCCTGGGACAGTAGCACTCGACGAGTACCCTGTAGACGAAAATCCTCACATTCTCATTCTGGGCATCAAGCAATCTGGTATTGCACTCATGCGCAAAACAGTCATCAGCCTGGCTATTGAACGTCTACCGGGGAAAATGTGGGTGACCTGGATATGCAAACTTTTTTGGACAACAAGTTATTTAGAACCTCACTTGGAGAAAGGAATAGGATAGATCCATATCAATAGAAGTGTTCATCAGATTATCATTATTTCTTCTCACGAAACCTCTAAAGCTTTGGAGGTGCTTTTTCATTTATTATGTATAGGATCCCAGCTTACGGCGATATACGACACCCAACTCCATTTATACAATATGTAAATGAACCCACTTTTTCACTAGCTACATCATATAAACCTCACGACTTTGGAGCGGCAGCACAGTAACCTGTCCACTGAGCTTTTTTGCAATTACACTTGTTCTGGATGACCCATTTGCTGTCTGTGTTAGCCAACCCGAGCAACCTCGTCAGCACTTTGTTCACTTTTTTTTGATTTCACAAATTATACTCACCAGCGCACTGCAACAAATTCCCCTTGCCATTCCCTGTAATGCCGCCATCACAAAACGTGTATCCCGTCTCGTACGATCCACAACTGGCACCCGCTTCAAAGGGTCCGGGGGTGGACGTTGGCAAGGTAGTTTGAGTCTTTGAGGCACAGTACGGGGCGTACTGGGGCTGTTTTGCACAAGGCTTCTTGCACTTGTTTTGCAGCGTCCAGTTTCCTATATTGTCTAGAATATTAGCAAAATCCACATGCATTAATAACCAATGCCTCGACATACCGGTAGCAGCATTACACTGTAAAAACAGCTTGCCGTTACAAGCGTACATGTCTTTTGCGGGGTTACATGAATCGCCAACGGTTACCGCGGCTGCTGCAGCGACCAAGAAGCCAATGACGGCTAGGAAGCAGGTGGTGTAGGTACGCATGATAATTCTTTATAATACGTATATATAAAAGATCAAATGTCGAGACAGGCTAGTAGAGGTTGGCTATGAGGGAAAGGGCGACGGACCGTCCGCTTTTTATGCACAAGAGTGAACCATCCATAGTCGTTCTGTTTAGAAAAACTCAAAAGAGCGCTCGACGTCACTGGCTTTGAAAAGACCCGTCTTCCCATTCTTTGATGTGGGATTCCTGCTTAGAGAGCTTTCCCTCCACAAAAGAAGATGGAGGAAAGAAGCTTTGGACGCCCGCTGAGCCCGCCAACTGCATGCTGACTTTTGAAAGTTCAAAGTCGCTCCGGGTGAACCATCAGGCAAGAACATAGAGTTCAGTGAAAACGCGCTTTACGTAATCAAGCGGACATTTTAAAGAGTTTAAACAGTTCGACGTGTCGCACTGCTTCTTTTACCCGCCAGCGCCCCGTAAAAGATCTGTAACCTTTCCCAGGACATCTTCTGAAATTCGGGAATCTGGATGCATTCTTTTGGGGTGAAAGTCACTCCCGCCGAGTGGAGATTTGATGATGATTTGCTCATCAAGTACCGGAAGAAGAGATTAACTATCGATATGTTCGACATCTATGTACAAGCCCCAGCAGTATATCTCTTATAATCTATGCGCAGCTAATTTTACCCAGGCCTATTCTGAGACATATCCGGAGAAACTCTCTGAGCTGGATACATGTAGGTATAAGGAACCCCAGGATGACAGGTACATGAGTGCGAGGGATGATTATTGTACGGATGTGGATGAGGGTACACAACCACTTGATACGGGTATGGATATGGATAAGGGAGTGGTGCAGGATATGGCTGAGATTGTACAGGAAGATGCGCTGGAGGCAGGCCAGCAGTAGGGTAACTAGTAGGAAGACATTGGTCTGCTCTTTGAAGAGCCCCCTGTGTTGTCTCTGGTAGCGACGCATTTCGGGAGGGGTGGTCCTTGTCCGTCAAGCACTTTGAGGGGCCCGGCAAATTGTTATTTCCTGCTGCTTGAACAGTTTGTGTCCCACGAAGGCATCCCTCACTACCGTTCGACGCTGCAGGAAACAGCGGACCCTGTGCGCCGGATAGACCACACACCGGAAGGTGGCAGCAACACTGAGCATGATGGAAAGGATAAGGCATCGGAAGGGGTCCAGCAACCGGTGCTCTGATCGATATCGGAGGGGTATGAAGGTGGCAAGAGGCATCAAAGTCCACATGTGCATCCATGCGCGATATCAACGAACCAGAAGCTGGGAAGCGCGGATGTGGATGTACCATGCTTGGTTGTGGATCCGACGACATTGCTGATTGCGGGTGACCGCTTGGGGTTGAAGTAATTTGCGTAAATTGAATTGAGTCCGGTCCCAAAGGTTGAGAACCCAAGTGATGAGTGTATCCGCCCGATGACGGATCCTCGAAAGACCTATTTAGAAATAGGGGTTGAGGGGCTGGCGTGGCTTGAGCTGGTGCCTCCATAGTCCGTCCTGCGTTGTGACTGTCTGGCACTGGCAAGGGGGTGGAACACGCGAGCGATGGTTGAGACACATGTTCACGTGGTCGGGTTTCTGAGGCCCTGGTTGTGCATAGTGTCGAATGATTGGTGGCCTGCACAGTCACAGGTACCGGGGAGTAGTGTGGTCCATTTTCTATTCCGCACGAGGCACTGGTAGGCAGTACAGTAGACTCTGAAGTACTGGTTCGACCAGAACTCGTCACATTAGAATCGGTGCCACGACGGGAACCTCTCCGCGACATGGGCGGAGTGTCCCGTGTCCCCATCTCGACTCTTCGAACCATCGCTATGGTGGGGGATATCGGGATGGCTTCGGACGCCGGTGATGCGGGTGGCGGAGTGGCATAAACAGGATCGCTCATCGATCGGGCGCAAACAGGCGACATTCCTAGGGGAGACATAATACCAAACGAGGTCTCAGCATTATTGCTAAACCATGCGCCCAAGTCTGAAGCTGGCGATCCCAAGGACATGGGCGAAGGTGGCACACTCGCTCCTCGCTTGGTTGCGCGCCGCTTTGGAGCACTATCTGTGCGGGGTAGATGTAGATCGTAGTGTTGCTGCAGATTATCCTTCCTCGCGAAGCGCCTGTTGCATTCCGGCCATGAGCATTCAAATGGTCTCTCGCCCGTGTGCGTTCGCTCGTGTCGTACTAGATGCGTTCTGCGGAAATGAGCAATTGCAAGCATCTATCAGTCATGATCTTTGAGAGACTATTATGAAATTAGTGAACCTCACTTTGTTTTGAAAGACTTCCCGCAATCTGGTACTGGACACATCAACATGCGCGTGAGCTTGCTCTTCCCGCTGGGAAATGAATGCGCGTGCCATTTCAAGTTCCCTCGCGTGCTGCGTTCCGCAAAAACGTAGGCAGCTTCCTGTGCCTTTGACTGTTCAAGAACGGTAGGATGGGCCTGTGCTTCGATCGACGCGCTTGGAGGAGCCGTAGCAGAACGCGGAGTTGGTAGCTGTGAGGACGCATGAATAGGAGTTAAGCCCAGTTCCAACGTAGAGCCATTTCGTTCGGAAACATGTTTCGGTAGAGGAGTGCACGGGAATCCAGAAGGTCCAAAAACCAATGACTTGGAGGCACCAGGAGAGCCACTTGTATGCGGAAGTCCACTATACCCACTTGGACTGCCGTCTGAAATATCAGGAGAGCCCGTGGTTGACACAATGCCGGGTCCTATTGCAGACAGGTGCGCAGGTTGGTCACCAGCGCTTGCAGGCCTACCGCTGGCAGAGGCAGCTTGCATTCTTTGCAGCAATGGCTTACACTGACAGCCCTCAGTCGCAAAATCCTGTGTTAAGGCGTCTCAGCCTCACCGCGAGCTCGCCTGTCGCCACAGTCGAGAGACGAGGGAAGTGTCAAGAAGGCACGCAAATGCAACAGGTCTCACCGCAATAGGCCAACCTACATAATTGGTAGAAGAAACAAGAACGGATGTGAGTGATACACAGGTAGTTGGAAGGTGGAAGTAGAAACTTTTTCGTGCCGCGAGGTCCGCGTCTTGTTACGAGGTCGCACACATGCGAACCATTCCTCCATGACAGCAATTCCCATTTTACCTTTCTTTGCCACAACTCCTGCCAGTGCATCAAAGCGCAACAAGAGCGTTTGGCACTGAAAAAGAAGCAACCCCCTTGGACAGCTGCCCAGGAGTAGGTTGCCAGTCTTTTTTTAGTCTCAAGCCGGTCGGGATGGAGGAGCACCCCAGTGCACCCAATTCTCTACTGTCCCCACTAGCTTCAAATCTGGAAATCCTCTTATGCTCGGGTGCGTAAATGTATTTTTAATTCCCGCTTGCAAAATGAGGTTGAGCGTGAAGACGCCACGATGTGTGCCAGTGTGCAAGTGTGCAAAACGAATTGGATCTTGGAATTTCGAGCTTTTATCCAAGGCGAGCAACCGTGCCACCAAGCAAATCGAATCGGCAATGAAAAAGTACTTGGATTCGGATTGTTAAAAGTATGGTGTGATTGTGAAGAAGTGGATTGCATTTCAAATGCGGCTAAGTGCATTAAATGCTCTCATAAGCAGACCTCCGACGCGTTCCCCAACGCGTCCGCAGCGTTTAAACACTCCTTGTCGAACGCATGGGTGAGCTATCCGACAGTTTATGAATTGTAAGCGCTTGATGCTTGAGAATGCGCCAATTTGCTGAGCAAGGTTTGTTTAGCTCATTTATTCTAGCGGTGAAGGATGGCTTCGCCAATATTCGATGTATTGAGTACTACATTCATTGATGAGTTATGACTAGTCGCTACATGTATCGTCGATGCCATTGGAAATGTCATACTCGATGAAATCAGTTCCATTCTCATCGCCGTTTTCTACATGGGCTGTTATCTCCGCGCAACCTCTCGTATCTCGCTGTCATCACTTTCAACCGTTCCTTATTGTAGCCCCACGATCGCCTTTACTGTTATTAATAATTAACTCTAAATTGTCTGACACTGCTTTCTTTGAGGTCACAACACTCATTAGCACATCTCCCAAAAACACCGTTGGAGACGGGCTCGAAAAAAGTGGTGTTCATGGATCTTGCCATTACGTGATATGTCACGTGACAACTCCACTCTCGCGTTGACGATCGGTTAACGAAAGCCAGAACGAATGCCCGAACTGCGAAGGAGTGCTCGCAAGATGTCGTTCCCCGAAACCCATATCCTGACTTCTATCTCCTCTGTAGCTAGACCGCATGGTGCTTGTCCAGTGGGTCTGGATATAAACTTCCATGAAGAACTCAACCTTGCGACGCACAGTCCCTCCCCCATTTCCCCCATTCATACCACTGATGTTGAGCAGGACTTGTTTACACGTCGAAATTCAGAAAGTGAAGTGAACGACCCCCTTCTACTGCAGCAACACAAGAAGCAGGCTGAAGAGCTCAATGAACTACGCAAAAGAGGAAAGGCGGGAAAGCAATTGACTGCATTTTATGAGCGGCAGAACGAGTTAATTGACGACTTGCTACGGCCACCTGATACGAGGGAAGAAGGCGAAGCAAAAAATTTGGTGAAGCTCAAGGTTGCAGTGTATGGTTCACTGTTGGCAAATATTTGCTTGTTTGCCTTGCAACTCGTAGCAGCGATCCTATCTGGCTCATTGGCATTATTTGCAACAACGGCTGATGCTTTTATGGACCTTGCTTCTTCGGCGGTATTGGTATATACGGGCCGCGCAGCTCTTTCGCAAAATTTCCATCAGTATCCCACTGGGAAAACGAGAATGGAAACGGCTGGGATAATCGTCTTTGCCTCACTCATGGCTACGTTATCTGTGCAGTTGATGGTAAGACAGCTTGACGGCGGATAGATGGCAATTTGCCTGTTGTCTTCAATAGTTTTTTGTTCGGTAGGTGGAAGGGGCAAGGGCTCTCATTAGCAGCAGCCATGAAGTCGATCTCTCGCCCTTATCCATTGGCTTGATAGCAGCAGCCATCGGTACGTTGCGTGTGTCTCATATCCAATATCAAAAACAACGATTGTTGACATCAAACCGCTACCTCAGCAACCAAGGGCGTCCTCTACTTGTACTGTCAAGCTGTTTCCCAATACCCGTCCGCCAGAATTCTCGCGCAGGATCACCGCAATGACATCTTCATGAATTCCATCGGAATTACACTTTCCGTTTTGGGCCAAAAAGTCGCATGGTGGCTAGATCCAGCGGTAATTGACATGAGCGCGAGGACTTGAAGCAACCGACTGACGTCTGGGATTTATTACAAAGGTGCGATATTGATCGCTGCTCTAATCCTCAGATCGTGGGCCGGAACCGCACATGGTAACTTCCTTGCCGTCGTTGTATGAAAATAAACATCTGATAACGCATTCTTTTTTAGAGCATATCCAATACATTGTGGGGAAGACAGCAGAGCCCGCTTTTCTGCAAAGGGTTACTTATCTCACGTTGACGCACGATCCCCGCATTCTACAGATTGATACCTGCCGTGCGTATCATGCTGGAAATAATTTTTTTGTCGAGGTGGACATTGTGCTGCCGCCCAACATGCTGTTGGCGGAGGCTCACGATATTGGAGAGGCATTGCAAATTAAGCTGGAGACTCTCCCGAACGTGGAGCGAGCATTTGTTCATTTGGACTACGAGACGACACATGCTCCAGAGCATCGAAAGATGCGCTAAGTAGAAGTATTCCATCTGACGTCCTGATTGAGATCAAGTGGAGCTTGAACCACCGCTTCAAGATTAATGAACAGCAAATGAGCAGCCAGTATATTTCCTTGCTTATTTATTGTACTTAAAGAGGATGTTCCCCAAGGTGCCATACATTGCCTTATGAAAATGTAATTTACCTTAATATACTATAAAAATCACTCACTGAAAATGAGATTGGCCTCCATTGATTGATTGATCACTCTCAAATATAGCTAAAATTAGCACGCTGTACGGCACTTCTTCTATAGTCTCTAAGATGGGTATCGTCGTAGCAAATGTTGCCAGTAGGGCGGCCATCAGCAATTACATCAACTGAAGGAATTCAGTAGATGGGTATAAAATTTCAGTCTCTCGCAAATACATTGCTAACGCCACGGTTTTGAATTGATCTTCGACACATCTGAAGTGTTAGGGCGAGTACGAGATGATGATCTTGCGAAGGAAGGATCCAGTTCCCTCAGCTCGTTTAACGTACGCTGTTGCAAGCTCTCTCAACCCATCCTCCATGCGCGTGGGGGACAGCACAGACCACTTCCTGCGCCACATCGGCTTTCGTAATGCCAACCCCGCCCGCGCGATCAAACTTACGCGCCAGCCTTCGGTTTCCGTTGTGACTACCAATTGAACATCTTCTCCATATGTTCAACAAGTATACCATTTTCACACATTCCCACTATGCCCGCGCCTTTGCTAAATGAGTACAAGAGCAAATTCGCATTTCGTCGATTTGTTCGAACACTTTCTGGCGGCCCACAACTTGCACCACCTGATACTCCAACTTCAAATGCAGTTGCATTATACGCGTTACAGGGATTTGTATACTTTATTCCATGGGTGGGTGCGGCTATAGTGTATGGTATATGGGGTGATGCGGGATGTGGATTTGGTAGTGGGCCAAATGTCGGGTACGGAGGTGAGGTGAGAGCGTGGAGTGTGCGGTGTTCCCTTTTGATTGGCACTATCTGAGCATACATAGCCGAGATGAGCTATACTCCTAACTATCATCTTTTTATCTAGCCTTGATGCTGGTCCTGATCATATTCCTACATATGCCGTCGTACATTTCCCTTCGCCGCCGTCACGCCCCTGCTGTAAATACCAATGTGCTGCCAAGTGATGCAGAAGAGCTTCCACTGCAAGGGCCCTTGATGGTATCCGCCTATACCTATGCAATTGAAGAATTCCAAGAGCTGAAAAATGGGCTGTGGGTTGCACATAGAGTCATGCAAACTGTTCTCTCAGGATTCTTTCTGAGTGCGTGCCTAGCATACTTAGCGCCTGGGACCTTAAGAGAACGGTGAGCTGCCCGTCTTAATTAATGTTGTAGATCTGAACTCATATCTTGCACAAGATATGGGAGCAATGGTGCTGCATGGGTGATGTACGCTTTGGGTTGGATCACAGTATTGATGGCGCAATGGTCGCTGACTTGGTAAGTAATGAAGTAAGCCAAGTTTGTCTGTCCTAAAACGTGCTTGTTGACTGGCGTTGCAGTACTCCACCACCAGAACCGAATACGTAAGTGTTGCTACTGTGGGCTTGTTCCAATGCTTCGCGCATATCAAATTGACAAATGCTGGGGACAAATGTGCCGCTAGATACTACACGGAAGATCCATGGAAGATAGACATTTACACTCGGCCCTTTTATCTCATATTACTGCTCATTATTGGTGGACTACAAGTAGGTGACACGTCAATCATCCAGTTACGGTATTTGGGACGAATCCGACGCTAATATTGCCTATCCGCCTGTTAGATCTGGATCCCCCAGCTTGATATTGCCAATTTTTATCTGTGCATTCTATGGGTAATATTTCCCCTCTTATGGACAACTGGAATTGCTCCTTCACTGAGAATCTTTCTAGCAACCGCGTTTGAAAAGGTGAGGTTCAAGTGAGAACCTACCATGAAGTGACCAACTTAAAGATATCCAATAGGCGCATACAGTACTTACCGCGGCGTCTCCGACGCTTTCCCCGAAACGCACTGCCCTCCTTTTCCTCTTTACAACCGTACCTAGCATTGCAGTCACTTGCATCCTTCTCGTTTGCGTCTCGCCACTTGCTGCATTGTGCTTTTCAGCGATAGCAGGATGTATTGTCGCAAGTCGAGTGTGGCTAGACTGGAGAACCGTTCGTACCAGCCGAACAAACGACTTTCCACATCTCATAGCACAAGTACGCCCGAGCATCGAATCACTCTACCTTTGCATCCGTTTGGTTATCTTGGCTGCTGTCGTTGCTGCCATCGGTGAAACATCGGACGACCTGATGGAGCATCCAGCGACAGTTGTTCTTCTTATCCTGGTGATACTTTTAACGTCTCTGCTCATAACCTCTCACGAGCTACAGCAAGTCCATATTCCCAGTTGTTTGCCGGTGCTGCGCAATCCATTACGAAGTTTCATTGGGCATGGCGACGCTATCCGCCAGCGAATAGTCCGAAATTTTGGCATTTTGCATATGCTCGCTTACCACTGCTTACCGTACGCTGTAACGGGGTGGATCCTGGCAGAGGCTTTAGAAGACTTCGGTACTCGGTCGAACAAACCATATCGGGAAGCGTGGTTTTGGGCCGGCCTTATGCTAATGAGAGCGTTCAGGTATGCCTGGATTGGACCGGGCACGGCGGGAATTGTAATTTGCGGTGTTGCTATCGTGGACGCCGGAGTCGAGTACGGCAACTGGTGGTTAGGGCTAAACGTTGGTACAAGAATATTGATTGTCTCCATCGTATGGGAAGCCGCAGTAAGGGCGTGGTGGAAATGCGGATTTTGGGTGATGGCATTAGCTGGTTTTCTGGTAAGTTTTAGCCGGGCGTAATTTGTGGCTCTCGTTTAATATAGTGGTGGTTTTCTCCTTTAGTTTAACAAAAAAGAGCGACGACCTCAATGGTATCTCTATCTGCTCGTCAGCATGATAGTGACACCGCCGGTGATCGTTGTTAGTAGCGTAATCGATGCTCCCATGCTCCCCGTCATGGGGTTGCCCATATTCTGGATGGGGTTTCCTAGACCAGCACGATTTTGGCCTTCATTGGGTATGGGACATGAACCGAGCGTCCACGATATGCTTCGTTGTAGTTCAACTTACTCTATTAAGCAGACCGCGATTATGTCCCGTCTTCCGATTCCCTTCTCTATTCAAGCCTTCTGCCTAAACTTCTTCCCAAGCTGTCTGCTCAAATCTCACAGGGCGCACTTCCATCAATTTCACCATCCAGCAACATGTTACTTATCCGCCTCGATTCTCGTCTATTGATCGTCCGCTGTGTGGAATGTTACTTTGAGGGCGTCATGTGTCTTATAGCAGGTGTCGAACTTGAGCCGACTAGCTGCCATGCGTTAGAAGGAACTGAGGTAGACAACATTTTGGAGGGTGTGTTAACTGGCAAAGACTTGAAGTTGGGGAATAGTAACATTTGGAAAACTCTGAAGGTGCGCCCAGTTTTTCACCTGTTCATCGTCGCTGCAGTGCTAAACAATTTCGTTTCGGATTGCAGCCTAAAGGCGTAGTGAAAACTGACACATACATCAGCACACGGACTGTCGTCACAGGCGTCCTTGATCACCCAAGTGTTCTTCGGCAAATTCCGGCAGTCTTCATGAAAGCATTGGTATGGTGCTTTGCTCGGAAACTAGGCCCGCAAGATGTTAAAAGGTGCTTTCGAAGCAGATGCGCATCCAAACATTGGAAATATTATTTACTCTTGCCCTATTGTGTCAGGTTTGCATCAACCATACCTCACCTAAACCGAGAAGTCATCCAAGCGTGCATGCCTCTGTTCCCTGCGAAATGGTACGACTTCTTGGAGTTTCTTAAAGCACGGAAAAGGCATCATTCGGTGGCAGACATCAAGAATGAGATGGAATGTGAAAGCCAAAACAATTCAATGGAAGCTGCAGCCCTTCTTGCTAGTGTTTGCTATGCAGTTGTGTTTGGCATCAGTAAGTTGTTCGGTTCACACGGCGATTGGGGGGTATTGAAAAGAAAGAATTCCAACTTTATTCATCTCCCTGACCTGTCTCGCACGCAGATACGCCGACTGCCGCGCCTTCACCAGTTGCCGACCTCCGTACTCTTTTTCGCATTTATCATGGTGACCTACCCTCCCTTCCCTCAGCAGGTCGCCTTTGGCTTGATGCTGCCGACCATTCGGAGCTTCGTTGGATTTGCTTGGTGTCGTTTCGGTGGGCGGTCAGGACAATCTACGAGCGAGCAGGGGAAGAACCCCAGGAAGAGGAGTTTGATGATATTAACGTAAGTGAAGAAACTGCTCGCCCGCTGGCTCGCTGTACTTGTAAAGTAATGCGTTATTTATAGGCGCTTTTCGAAGCATATGATACCGTGCATCACACCTCCCTTGACCCGTCTTCTTTGCTGTCTAATCCGCTGCCATTCGATACGGCATCAACACCTACTGCCTGGCGTAGTGTGCTTGCGCGCGGCGGAGAATCATTATTTGGGATGTATCTGCAAGCAGACGGCATGCGAGGCAATACTGTGGGAGTCCGGATGATCAAAAAGGAGAGAGATGTATGTTGTTGGGTGGGCGAAGTGAACGGAGAAGCAGTTAGAGTAAGTCAGCTTAAACAATTATGGCATCGTTCACTTGCTAGATGATTATTTTTAAATGTTTCCGATTGACTACTTTGGTAGGGCATCTGGGCGAACCTCGTTTTTGAGCTGCTCTATTTAACAAACGACGATGATGGTGTGTTCCTGCTTTGGTTTTCTGTTCAGGCAACTCATCATGTCATTTACTTTCCTGATTTCTTTCCTTCTTTTCATCTCAGAGCGATACAGCATTCAAGCTCACCCGGTACGAGAGCAGTCTTATCAATCACAGTGGTTTTCACACTATCTGACATCATACTTTCCTTAGCTACTACTCCGAAATCTCACAGTGCAAACGTCCAATCCGCCATTGGGCTATCCATTGTATCTCGGACACGGTGCAATATCTCTACCTATATGGGGAACTGGTGCCAGGAGGGACAGACGAGTGAATATCGAAGGTTGATTGACGGGGAAAGATGGCGAAGGTGTGCAGGCACCCTGTAGCGTCAAAGGAACACAACCTTTCAAAGATACAAACTATGACTTTTTGAAACCTGCCTATAGCAGCACAGGGGCCTGCATCAGTGGATGTCTGGGCCGAGATGGAAACCTTAGTTTGATTTCTATAATATTTAGGTGGCATTAAGACCGTGGGTATAGTAAGGCGTCTGCCTGCCATGATGAATAGGTCAATGTCCAACAGTAGCGGGCGATCCAATGTCAAATCCTTTCAATGAGCCGTTCGGAAGGGTTCTCTCCTAGCCTCTCACTAACCCATTGCAGAACTTCATCACCTCTCTCAGTTCTAAAAAAATATCCGGTGGTAGCCCTTTCAAGCCCTCTTTTTAATCCGATTAGAAGCCTATCTGCTTCTCCTGGCTTTTCCTGACTATCCCGCTTCCTGGCAAAATCGTCCCACTGCTCAATAATTTTCATGTCAGGGCATCCCGCAATAGCGTTCTCTACAGCGACTGCCATCCGTCCACTTTTGGAGCTCGAATAAAAATCGAAGATAAATGGCAGTAAATGGGAACACGCTAAAGGGGAGGCAGTCGCCACCGTCTCGATGGCTGACATGCGTTCCGAGGGTGAAACGAGGTCCTGCTTTTGGAGCAGGTCAAGTAGGCGATCAATTTGGGCGCTATCTTGTGTGCTTGCAAGTGCGCTCAAAATGTCTCCTGCCGGCTTGGGTCCCGATTGTTTTGTGTACAAATCGAACATAATATCAAAATTCTTCGAGGTATTTCGAACCGCTGCGATGTAAACGAGATCCAGAAGCTCTTCCGATGGCAAATCATCCTCTTTATTATCCAAAAGAGCTGAAAAATACCGCATTGCTTGGGAGGTAACTTGTTGCTCTTGCATATCAATAGCGAGTGACAAAATCGCTCGGCGCATAAGATCCTGCATATGTTGATCGTTACTGTTACCGGCCTTGGCCTTCCATCCAACCTTTACTACAATATCTTCCAGGAGGCGGCGGAACCAGGCTCTCACGCTATTTGCCGCGACATGGTAACCCAGACTTTTTTCCAACTCCTTTAATGCGTCACTAGCCGTCAGCCAGACGATCGGATCAGTTTCACGTTTCAGGAACAGCAGGCATGGAAATCCATCCTGGGCGATTACCCTATTTGAAAGCACCAGTGCAATAACATCAGATACAATTCCTGCACGATCTGCAGGTCGTAGACTGGTTGGATTGGTCAACAGCAATTCGGAAAGCAGTTTATAAGTTGTTGCTCCATATTGTGTGCGATAAAATCCTGTACGATTGGGATTTGCTAGGATAAGGGATTCCGGAGAAAGCTCGGATATGGGAAATAAGCTTGTCGGGTCCCGTAAGGTGACGGAATGCACAGATTTGACATCCGAAAGAATTGCAAACTCAAAGGGCACGACCCAAGTTTGATCTTCGGTGTTCTCCGGGCTTGCCCAAAGCGTGAATCGACGTTGGCTCAACCGGAGGACACCATTTTCAGGGATAACAGTGATAACGGGATATCCAGGGCGGGAAACCCATGTGTCCATCATGGAACGCACCACGTTATGATCTCCATCGACCGTCCCAACAATAGCGGACATGTCAGCCCACAGATCTGCGGTGGTAGCAACGCCAAAGCGACATCGGGTCAGGTATTTCCTTATTCCTTGGCAGAATCCTCCGCACATATGCCTATCGTCAGTCTTTGAATTCATCCACGACTTCAGCATTCCAACAATTGCAGCCCCCTTATCGTATGTGATATCGTCAAATATCCTGGGAATCGTGCGTTGGTCATCGACCGCCATGGTAACAGGATGGGTGAAGGAGGATGAATCCGCCCGGAATGCCAGCACATGTTCCATGTAAAAAAATTGTGACTCAAGATCCCATGAAGGCTCAATGGCAGAAACTGCCTGGTATTGCATAAACTCTGCGAACCCTTCATTAAGCCACCTATAAACAAAATTATTAGACTTGTTCGTAGAATAGATGAAGACGTAAATGCTTACAGATCGTTCCACCATCTCATCGTGACAATATCACCAAACCACTGAAAACCCACGTCATTAGCACAGAATTACTTAATTAAATTGATCAAGACACAACCTGGTGTGCGATTTCATGTGCCACCAGCAATGCAATAGTTTGCTTATCTTCCGCTGAAGAGGTCTCAGACGACATTAGCAAGTCTTCTTCGAAGATCATCAAGCCAAAATTTTCCATAGCGTCGCCTTGGAAAAATCAAATACGTTCATCAAATGAAGAGTGCGCGGGACTTTGCAGGAAACTCACCTGAGAAATCTGGCATCGGAAACAAATCGAGTTTTGGCAGCGGGAACGGAATTCCATATTGACTTTCAAAAAATTCAAGTGACCGCAGCGCCACGTGTAAGGGATATCTAGTAGCTAATGTTCAGCTGTTTACATGGAACCCCCGGGTTACGTTGCAAAGATAATGGTAACGAACCGTGCGTCGCTCTGTTGACCAGGTCTAAAGAATACTCTCATGTCTACTCCGCTTTCTGTCTTGTTTTCCACACTCTTGAAATCCCCGATCGCCCAAGCGGCCAGATAAGTGCTCATCGGCGGGGTCGGTTGGAACTCAAACCGCGTGAATCGCGCACCATCTGCGCTCGCATCCAAATCATGTATTCTCGCAGCGGGCATGTTCGACAATGCATACAACCCCTTCCTTACTGTGATGGCGACGCGGAATTCCGCTTTCAAGGATGGCTCGTCAAAGCACGGAAACGCATGCCGAGCCCAAAAAGGTTCAAAATGCGTTGCAGCAACGTATCGTACTTCATCCGTTGATGCGTCGCGGTACGGGCTGCGGTAGAATCCATGCATTGTTCTATCTCCAATGTGTCCTTTATAGCTGATTACGAGGGTATAATTCATGGGGCGAATGACCTTTGAAAAGTGAAGAATAGTCATCCCATTGTCTGGGTCGGACGCGGCACTAGACGGAAAAACGATTGTGTTGCTGGCAAGGTGATGGACGAATGTATCTGAGAGTTCAAGCCCAACCGAGTGGAATGTGATATTGCTCGTGGACTCCAGAACTTCAATTGTAACATTCGCCTGTCCATTGAATATAGCGGTCTCCAAGTCTGCCATAAAATCGAGGGTATAAGTTCGAGCAACAATCGAGGTTGGAAGCCAAGTCCCCGGCTGGCGTGCCTGGGTAGGTTCATGCCGTGTGAAGGCTTTCAGAATAATAAGGAAGAGAATCGTTGAAGCTACAACAGTTGCCAATGGTATCATCCATTTGCGCTGTCGGCGGAAGTGTGAGGTAGTTAGCAGTTCCCTGTCGCTGGGAAACAGTGTTCCCCAGGAAATCTGTCGGCGCCCTCGATTTGTTTCCTGTCCGGGTAGCAGTGGATCCAGCTCTTGGGGGACATCCATGTTACGAACATTTTCTTCAGGGTCGCGACGGACTCGTTCGAGAGGGGCATCGCGAGATGCGTTGGACGACATTGGACTGAACAGCGCGGGGCGAGTTTGGGCGTGTTTTCTTGGTGAGTCAGCAGCGAGCGCCTCACTGACTTGCCCATTTCTTGGTTGCAAAACACCCCGATTTACGCCCTCCAAAGTATTTAAATTCATCAGGGATGTCATAATCCGAGCATGTGTTGGGGGAGCATTCTCCCATCTCTCAATATGGCAATAAACAGCAGGAAAAAACATGACAGGTAGGTTTAAATGTTTAGCCCTATATTGACTCCACAATATACACCAACCCCTCACAAACATCAGGACATTTACGCCTTTTGAGCAGCAGGCTTCTTGTCCTTTTGGAAGCCACGGAAGCGCTGGGGCGGGGTACGGTCACGACGACCCTCAACGGAACGAACACGGACAATCTTCGAGTGAATAGCACATGACACGCAGTAGTGCATCTTGATGTACAACTTGGGAAGGGCGTACTCTGCAGCCATATAGATATGAGATGAGTAAGACGAAGCGGATATGCTCCCCGGGCCCAGAATATATGTACATACCCTCGAAGACCGAAGCATCGGCCAAGTCACGGATGGCGGCCTGCTCAACCATGTTGCGGATCAAGAACCTCTTGATGGCCTTGTCCTTGGGAACGCAACGAGCACAGTTAGAGCAGCGCACGGGCTTGACGTGGCCACGGCCGTGCTTTGCGCGTCCGTTGTTCCTCCTCTTTTGAGTCTAGAGTACCCGGAAAAAGAGAAGGTTAAAAAAGTGAGCTACATATTCCCTTTCCCCATGCAATCGTTGTGTTCTCAGCCGACCCGCTGACCATCCTTTGTCCCGCACCGGTTCAGCAATTCGTTGTCGCCCCACATTCCATCCGACCATTTCCAGCCAGAATGATCTGCAGTACAGAGATCCATATAATGCGCTCAACATTTCCACTTCCTTTCCGCCAGTAGCCCCATATCCATTCGATCACGTCTGCATCCCCAAGTATTTCCCAACATAGATTCGCGCAAATGTCCACATTTCTCCACCACATGTCCACCGACGAGTCCGCCTCCCGGCACCTTGCCAATCATCCATCCATCCATCCAACGCAACATGAACCGGCGGGGAACCGAACGAGCAGCGGGCTTGCGGCGAAACGATGCGACCTGTCTCTAGAATCGATGGATGGATAAAACTCACCATGATGGATTTCGTCCAAGGACTTCACGGAAGGCAAAAGAGGAATTGGGAATCGAGAAAGGACGAAATTCTGGGTCGCGCTCGCCTTCCCCCTTCAGGCTGCAAATGGAAATGGACTGTGCCGCACTGTGATTGGATCATCATATCATGTGACCAGACGCGATCTTGCAGCAAGTTGCTTCTTAACGCGTCCTCCTCGTCTTTGGCATTGAGGAAATTTCGTCACAAAATGCACCCATTTATCTAGGGGATACTCCCAGCCTGGCATCAAAAGATTCCTGTGGATAGCTATGACTGATTTCAGGACCAAAAATGTGCCACTGGACTGGAGTAGGGTGCTCCAGTTCGACGTGGACGGGCTGTCTCAGCAGGTTAGTTCAAGTTGCTCTTTATACCTATTCCCGCGTGCTTGCTGATGTGTGTTTGTCGTGCTAGCATCCTGAGCAGATTGATAAAGAGCTAGAAGACCTATATGAGGTGCTGGTGGAAGCCCACTTGCGCCCAGGCGACCCGCAGGCAACACCCGAAAACCTGCTCCGCCTATTCCGAGTAACCCAAGCTGTTATGGAGTAAGTGCACGACGAAAGACTTATGTACCAGCTACGTAAAGGACGCATTTGGTGCGCACTTTGAAGGCACATAGAATGTCGCGTGGGGCAGAATGGTAGATTATGGACCACTCAATTTAGATCCCCACCATAGGAATAAAAACCTTTACTTGGTACAAGCGGAAGAGGACATACGCGCGCTTGAGGTGAGATTGGGCCGTAGTACACACACACTGCGGATATTGTTTGACCTATCGAGGCTGTTCAGACCCGAGTACAACAACAAGACGACGAGATGGACGGGTTAATGACCGGAGGAGACGCTTCATACGTTGCAGGTAGAACCACAGGCGATTAGCTATTTTCATAGACTTGAAATTGACTGATTGGTTAATCTGGGGAAAGAAATTCGAACTCTTCGGGGAGATATTGAAGACCTTGAAAAGCGGAATGACGCATTGACCAGAGATTTAGCTGAGGCTGAGGAGCAATTGGATGCTGAAAGGAGTACTATGAGGGAGATGACTGCGGTAAGATGTCATTTACACCAGTTAAAAATGGTAGTATGAACTCATGCATTGGTCGCACTTAGCAATTATCGACGGAGAGAGCGCGAGCATCCGCCCTTGAAGAAGCTGCCACCCGTATGAAGGCCGAAATTAAGGACTATCAATCCCAGATCCAGAACCGCAAAGACCGTTTGCAACTCAAGAATATGGACGAGGATCAGATCCGGAAGCAACTGCGGGTTGGCTTTTCCTCTTATTGGCCTATCGTCGTGACTAGATGGGGATTAACCCTCATTGGTCGAACATTGTCTGTATAGGAAAAGAACGGAGAGATTAACCGCTATCTTGCCGAGGTGGAACTGCTAAGTGCAGAGAATACGAGGCTTACTGACGAAGTTCAGACAATGTCTCAGGAATTGGAGGCGACAGTAACGGAGTTGGACAGGTGCAGGAACTGAGTTTCGAGACGAAATGCTCCCTATCTGACAGCTCACATTTCTATTTACAGGAAGGAGAGCGAACTGGAGGAAATTCAGCGCGTCATTATTGATAATGACAACACCATCGATCAATTGATCGACGAACGGGCGGCATTGCAGACGAAGCTCGAAGATTTGACCCAACAGGTTGAAACCGTGGGCTTTCAAGATGAACGCTTCCTTACCGAGCTTCAGGAAGAGGTGGAAAGTTACAAGCAAGCGATGCGGGATTCAGAGTCCGATGCCTCAGAAAAGGCCATGTTGATCCAGCGCTTGAAAGGCGACATCTTGAATTTGCAAGAGGAGCTGAAAACATATAATGTGGATGCGGTCAGCAAAGCGATGAGTGAGAAGGATGACATCATTGCAACATTGCAGGACAAACTCAACGAAGCTTATCACGATTTCGAGCTTTTGAGCATAGACTGGGACAATATTGATAAGGCTCTCTACACAAAAAGTGAAATTGACCTCGATTCTCTTCGTAGTCAATTGGAAACGGCGAATCAATTGAAAGAGAAACTGGACGCATATAAAGCTCGTCACAAAAAGAATCTACAGAAGATACGTGCCGTTGATGCCCAATTGGAGGAGAAGGAAAGAGAGTTGATTGGTCTAAGGGAACGGATCTCCCAATACGAAGGAGGCGTGTATGGATTGCAAGAAGCAGTCAAGGAAATTAAAGATTTAAAATTGCGGTTAAATTTACGTGACAAAGACCTGCTGTCCCGCACCCAACAAATCAACGAATGGGAAAGGCGGCTGGGAGACCTAATTGACGAAAACCAGGAATTGCGGCGCCTACTAGGAATGGATGAGAAATCTTCCGTGGATGTGACAAATGTCAAGCATATCAGAACTGTGGAACTCGAAAAAGCGCGGGCGCTTAACGAGCAACTTCAACAAGAAATCGACCGACTCGAGGAGGAAAGACTTCAGCTGAAAGCGAGTTTGCGCCTTCGTGCTATGGAACGAGGAGAACGGGCGGTCCAATTAGGAATGACGGCTGAAGATATGGCAGGTTCGGCACTCTGAGTGTGTGGACCGACCATTGATATGCTCATTCCCGATTGTTAGACGTTGATGACTACGCTGAGAAATTGCGAATCAAGAGAGGAGAAGTTACCAGCGGCCACGCTCCAACTGCTACGGTCATACATAGTGATCAACTTGAGAAGCTGGCTGTAGAGTTGGAGCGGGCACAGGTAGACGGAAGTGAAGCACGGCAGCAAGTCAAAAAACTTGAGGTACCATACCGGTCATGCACCTCTCCTTGTCTTGAAGAGCTGAACAGGACTCGCTTATTCCTGGGTTACAGGACGACATGCGCCGCCTCCAAAATGATAATGCAAATCTAGAGGCTGCGGTCAAAGAAGTTTCCCGTACCCTCATCCAGCTGCAACATAGCAATCAAGACAACTCGACGGAATCCCTGCTGTCGGAATTGAATGCTGTCCACAAGCTGGTAGACATCTTGGAAAAGAAGCAGAGAATCGAGAAAACGCGTGATTTGCTCGAGCTGGATGCTGGAAAGGACGTTCTCAAAGTGAACCAGGCAAGATCTTGTTTCCATTGGCGAGGTGCAATGAACATTTCTCTAAAGATGACAGATCACAGGCCTTGCGCGACGATTTGCAATCTGCTCGAGATAAGATTCGGCTAGCTCAGACAGAATTGGAAAACCTACGTGCGGAAATTAGGCAAATCCGGGAGGATCGAGATCATTGGAAACTGGAAGCGCAGAATCCTAGAAAGCGTGCTGTTACTCTACCAACCGAGCTGTCGATGGGTAGCGCTGAAGATTATAGGGCGCTAGTCGAGCAATTGGTGGAATGTATTTTGGAACTTCAGACTAAAGATGCGGCCCTAGAGCAGAGCAAAGCGGCCTTGGAGAATTATCGGGTTGGTATCATGAAGTTAATAACAAAGTCCACAGTGCCTTATGACACCAGCTTTGTAGGACTCATATGGTATGCTGGCCGGGCGGCAGCGCCAACTGTATCGGGATTATCAGAACCTAAAGCAAGAGAATGCGGAAAAAGCGGCAGCACTGGAAGCGAATCTACGCGATGCAGATGCAGCAAGGGAAGCGGCACAAACTCGCACGGAGGAACTCGAGACCTTGGTGGTCATTCTGTCGGCCGGATCGGATGAGTTGATCAAAAGCTCGCTAATTGAAGTGCAGCGGAAACTCATGGTCCTGAAGATTAATGAAAAAGCTTTGACCCGTCGATACTTGGCATTACAGGAGGTGGAAAGCGGGTTGAGAACGGAGAATGAGAGATTGAAGGTTGTCCCGACCGAAACTCAAAAAAAATCTGAGATGCCAGACTGACATTGTACTCCTTGTCCTACCAGAATGATCTTCTACTCCTTGACAAAGCTTCCCGACAACGTATTGGATATCTTGCAGCGTCCAAGCGCGAGGCAAAGAGTAAGGTCCAGAGGTTACTCTCGGAATTATCTGGTAAGTGTACGCCTAGCTCTGATGGCTGAAGAGGTCAGATTGACTCGGCTCATTCTAATCTGAATCAGAGTCGGTGCCACGTAGCGAACATACTCAGTTGGAGAATCGCTTGAATCTTTACGTCGCCAAAAGTCGGCAGCTTCTTGAGAAGGAACAACATTGGATCGGCGAAAGAATCCGATGTGAAGAAGATGTACAACGTGCACAAACATTACAGAGCAAAATGCATGTTGTTGAGCTTGAGTTAACGGAAGCCAAAGAGAAGGTATTGCATACCCGACATATATTTTGAGAACAGGCAAAACATTAACCATTGGCCATACGTTCGCGACGCTAAGGCTTCCAAAATGGAAGATGCTCTTCTTAAGGCGGCAGAAGTGCCAGGTCAGTTGTTGA